AGTTACTTGTTTCTCCGGATCTCATCGACGAGCTTATCACAAGGGTTGAGAAGGATCCAGAGTTGACTTATTACTCGGTCAACAAAGCTGGTGATCTCAAGTCCAATTCTCCAGGCGAAGGACCTAATGCAGTCACGTGGGGTGTCTTCCCTGGCAAAGAAATTGTTCAACCCACTATTGTTGAGACGATCAGTTTCTTGGCTTGGAAGGACGAGGCTTATCGTCTGGGAATGGATTGGGCTCATTGTTATGATGCTGGAAGTCCTAGTCGTCAACTCATTGAGAAGATGATGAATGAGTGGCATTTGGTCAACATTGGTATGTATGCTCTGTCGAGTCCTATTTTAAATTACTAACATTTCGAAGTCCACAATGACTTCCACCAATCCCACGGCCTTTTCCCTCTCTTCGACGGTCTCACGGTCCAAAACATCAACAAACCATTCGAGGCAACCACAACCAACGGCGTAAACGGCACAGCGCCAAAAAGCAACGAACATCTCCCACTCACAAACGGAACCGGCAACGCCCTCGTCGCCGCTTAGATAAGCTAGATCACATACACAATTCCACGATTTAATGATTCAACATGCACAAAAAACGACTACGATTTCTTCCTTTTAATGAGGCTTTTTTCAACATATCAAAACACCAGGCTGGTGGTGGGGTGTTGATCCCCTTGGGCATTTTGTCTTAACTACAAAACTTGCATGCATACTAGCGTTGGTGTTTTATCGGATGGGGGGTAAAGTGGTTGGGTGGGCGGGATACAAACTTTTCAACCAGGTTTGGCGTTTTTTTTTTAATTTCTCTGAGATGGTTTTATTCGGTTTGCAGGGGTGTGGAAAAGGGCGATTTCAACGATCGAGACAGAGGGTTTTTTTGAGGTGTATAGATTTGGAGGTAGAGATGCATGTGGGGGAATGATGGGGAAAAGTGGTGTGGTGGGTATGAGATGGATGGGAGGACCTTCAACGGTCTAAGAGTATAGTGAGTTTAGCTTGAGAGTGTGCTTAGAAGTAGACTTCGGGTTGCTGGTTAAAGAGAAGTTCTAATCAAGACTTTTAACCACTAAAATTCCACGTCACTCTTCTACAAAAGTGAGAATCAAGTATATGGAGAACGATATGTTTCGTCAAACTAAACGTCTAGACCGACAAAATCTCATTGGTCGGATCGTATTACAGGGATGCCTATTAGCTCCCAGTCCCACTATTACTCCGCCGATATAGTAAGTCCGAAGTGTCAATTTGATATATTGTTTTCGCAAGTGTCTAGGCGTTCTAGTTAGTTTCCGCAAAGAGTGTGAGAATGATGGGTCTGCTTTGAAATCGTGTGAGATGGGGAGGGGGTATATAAGGGGGAAAGGATTGTGTTCATAGTCAACACCATTATTCGATTTAGTAACTTGGTATCTCTCTTCTCTTCAGCACTTCACGCACTCCAAAATGTCAACACACAAAGCCATAGTCACAACCGCCCCCCGAGCCCCGCTCTCCCTCTTAAACGTGTCCACTCCCTCGCTACAAGGAAATGAGGTCCTGATCCGTGTAGAATGGACAGCGAGTACGCCTCTCGACATGCATCAAGCTGAATCCGGGCTATTGGTCAACCACCCGCAGGTTCTGGGTGATAGCGTTGCGGGGACTGTTGTGGGTGTAGGTGAGGCGGTCGAGGGGGTGGGTGTGGGCGATGGGGTAAGTTCCTTAGATCCGATTTGATATAAAATTTGCGTTGATATGAAGGTTGATAAATCAAGGTCTTCACCTTCACACTCCACGCACACCAAGAATACATCCTCGTCCCCTCCACATCCGTAGGTCGTATCCCCCCGAACATCAGCATGCAAGAAGCAGCAACCCTGCCTGATAACTTCGTCACGGTATTCCACACCCTAACACACGATCTGCATTTGTCTCTCCCCTGGCCTAAACCCGCGTCCTACGCCCCAGCTGACAGTCAGACGGGCTTCCTGATCTGGGGCGGCGCGAGCTCCGTGGGGATGTACGCGCTTCAGATCCTAAGGTTCTATGGGTATACGAATGTGATTGCTGTGGCTTCGCCGGGACATCATAAGTTGTTAGGTGGGTATGGCGCGAGGAAGTGTTTTGATTACAATGCGGCTGATGTTGAGGATGCGCTGCGTGAGGAGATAGGGGTGAGGTATGTTTTTGATACGATTGGACATCTGGATGGGTCTGTGAGGCCGATTTCGAGGGTCGTGGGGATGGGGACGCAGGTTGCTGTGTTGTTGCCTGTTATTGTTGTTGATGCGAGGGAGGAGGGGGGGCCGGTTTATGAGATGGACGTTGAGGGGTGTTGTGAGTGGGCGGAGGGTGTGGGTGTGAGGGGGGTGAGGACTTATTTTTGGGCGGAGGTGCGTGACGTTCTTTGCAAGAGTCTGATCTAGCTGACGACTCTTAGAACGCTTTCTTCAAGGAGAAGCTGCAAGCTGAAATCATGCCGGCGCTGTTGACGAGTGGTGATGTGAAGCCGAATCCGTATCGGGCGATTGAAGGGGCGACGATGGTGGAGAGGGCGCAGAAGGCATTGGATGTTTTGAAAGGAAAGGGTGCTAGGGGGGAGAGATTGGTTTGGAAGGTCTGGGAGGGGGAATATGACAGTTGAATTTTGGCTTTGTAGGGGAGTCTGTTAGGCAGCTCGAAAGTAGACTAGTGAGAGTGTGTTTGAGAAAATGAGAGCAAAACGTTTGGGAAAACCTTGGAATGATTCAAACTTTCCTTCCGCAAAACCCCAGGATGTTAGGATGTAAATCCCTTTTCATAGTTCTGTGCACCACCAACAACGAGCGGCCTCTACTTATCAAATAACTGATGTGTGCCGCTTGGCAAGATTTATTTGGACTACTCGCTCGCGCTCAGATTGGTTTCTGCCAAAGTGTTCGAAGATGGAGTGACAAACACCGAAGTGATGTTTGCAGGAGGTCATCTTGGGAACACTTATGAAGTTCTGAGTCTGCATATTTGCGAAAAGGACTATCTTGTATCACGCGGAGAAAGTATCCAAACTGACCGAAGAAATTATGTGAATGTCAACTGACCCATATGTCAAGATGAGAAGCCTGTGTCTTGAATCTCTCAACACCTATGCTCGCAATCTTGTCACCATTCTCAAACCGATCAGAATTTCGTTTTTTGGGTCTCATGAATCACGTTTTCCGTGATTTTTTGAGTCCATTTCTCCATCCTTCTTCTGAAGCTCGTCGCAGCTCCAATTGACGGACGGCAGCTTGGACCGTCACTTGACTGCCCCTTTCAATGTGAAACGCAAACGAACATCAACTTATTAGATATCGTGTCCAAAACTCCATATCACCCGGAAGAATTGCCTACGTGTGAGAGAGTTTGTGTCGTCCTGATGGCGTGGTGCATTCCCCATTACCTTCCTCGTGTAGTAGATCATTCGGCTGCTCGCAAGAATCAGCTGGAAGGTCTACAACTATTCGTCTCGAATCCAGATCTTCAGATTCTCGGGTCCTCACAGCATGGCTGAATTCGATGTTTGTCGGATTTGAGGCGCTGTGGTATCAAGTGGTCTGCGATTTGGTCGCACTCTTCTCGACCTTACTGCGAATCGAAGAAGGGGCAGCTTATTCATAAGAAGACGCTCCGCAGAAGAGAACCCAGTAGATTCATACATCAGGAGTCAGAAGGGACCCTATGTTGTGATAGAATTGTTGTTGATGTTTGGGTCGACGAGACGACGTCTGTTTATAGTGTCGCTAACCAAGCTCCCGCTAGCGTGCTGAACCCTACGACCCTTCTCAAGCCGATTGCAACGACGACGACAATAACAACAAACTTTTCCTTTTCTCACTTTGAATTTTCTCTGCGCATTTGTTAGAAACAGAAAAGAATTATAATACGAAAACTTAGGAAAACCTGCTTTCCATTGAATCGCTTGTCCGATGGTACCTACTCCGGTAGACTTTTGCGAGCGAATGATACCAACCTCGGACTCGGAGTCACATAAATAGTCCTTTCAAACTTCTCTCTGCTTTCACTCGATCTTCGAGGACTTTTGGGATTGCTGGACTATTTAGCATTGACGGACAAGCAAGAAACCGTGCCTCTTTCCGAAGCGAACGTGAGATCCACCAAACGGACATCGTACGCACACCGGTGTCCGCGTATAACCACGACCAGAGAGATTCTATAAAAGAGAGCATACGCTACGAGTTCTAGAACTTCATCAAAGACCAAACCAAATTTTCCAAAAGCAACCCTCACAACAAAGACATCATGGACTCCCTTACCACCTGTCAGTTGACCACCACCCGCGACCTAACCTATACCTATTTCAAAAGCCCTCCCACCCAAGACAACAAGCCATACATTCTTTTCCTCCACGGCTTCCCATCTTCAGTCTTTCACTACCGTCACCAGATCTCCCATTTCTCCAAAGCAGGATACGGAATCATTGCCCCCACCCTTCTAGGCTATGGCAAGACGTCCAAGCCCACAGACTACAACGTCTACTCCGGCAAGGGAATGAGCCAAGATGTTCAAGAGATATTACAATTTGAGAAGATTGAGAGTGTTATTGGTGTTGCTCACGACTGGTGTGTCACACTTACTATGTGCTTTGTATGATGCTAATGAGAATAGGGGAGCGTATCTAATGTCACGAATGGCCAATCACTACCCTACGTTATTCTCGAAACTCGTGTTTCTGGATATCGGATACTCGAATCCGAGTTTCAATCTTAATCGGCAGACGATTAATTTTGTCAATTCGATGGTGCAACAGAATATGGGATACTCCGTGTTTGGCTACTTCTTGTTTTTTGATGAGGAGGATGCGCCGGAGTTGATGAATAAAAATGTGTGTATACCATATCCGAGGTCATGAGCCTGAGCTAACACGAATTCAAGGTCGCCTCAGCAGAATCGCTCTTCCATTCCAAGGATAATGAAGTGATCAAGAATTACATGGGAGCGGAAGGCGGAGCTCGAAAATGGTTCGAAGGAGGGAAGATGGCCGAATACCCCGCCTATCTCACAGAAGAGGTGCGTTCGTACTTTTGGAATTTTTGGATTTATCTAACCCCACCCAGGACAAATCCGAATTCCAAAAAGACTTCTCCCCCGAAAACGGCGGTTTCACAGCAGCCTTAAACTGGTACAGAGCACAGCTGCACGACGTAAACGCCGAAGATGATAAAGGTATCCCTAATCCCTCCATCCCTCTTTTCCCCCTCCTTCAACTCCCTATAATCCCCCGATTCTCAATATTGCCGCAAACTGACACTTTCCACAGCAATCCCCGACGAAAACAAAGTCCTCAAACAACCCACACTCCTAATCAGCACAGACAACCTCATCACAGCAGCAGCAGACTTTCCGAATCAAATGAAACAATCAGCGCCGAATCTGACGCTGAAGAAGTTGGAGACGGGGCATTGGGTTATGTTGGAGATGCCCGAAGAGACGAATCGGTTGTGTGAGGAGTTTTTCGAGGGGTAGATTAAATAGATTGCTTTAAGTGGAGTGACATTGACCTATTCTCGATTTTGGATCTACTAACGTGCAGTTGTGTTTTGACTATGTGATTTTGAGGATGTGGATAAAATGCTGGTAATTGAGTTGGAAATCGCCTTGACAATATCCCACGTCCCAAAATACTCCTCACGATATCTCCATCCTTCCCTCTGAAAGGGATTAACGGTTGTAGACTACCAACCTCATAAATTTACGATAACGATAACTTTCTTTATTTCCTCGCAGCAGCCGAAAAGCAGACCAAATTATTCGCCAGCAATCCTCTACACACCTAATCATTGTTGTCAAACAAGAAGCGAGAAGCTGATTTCGGCGACAATTGTATTTTCGGCAGAAAATGCATATCTTCATTCCACGCGCACAAACTGAGTGTTAGACAGTTTCGAAAACTCTCTAGGTACAGGAAAAATATTACAAATATTGAAAATTATACTAAACAGCAATTAACTATCTAGTAACATGTCCAAGTCTCCTGCTCTTCCCGATATTTCGATTCGTGCTTTAGAGTAGTGAGTTTTACACAACTACATCTTTATAAGCTATGTGTCACTGACAAAATCTTGATGTTAAATTCCCTTTGCAAATTAGATTTTTGTTCTAGTGTTTTCACACTTCCCCTCATTCCACCTTTTCCCATAGTTCTATGTGAATGGTAAGTTTCATGATGGCTACGGAGAGAACGTGCTGATAAGAGCTCTCATGGGATGGTTCTGATCGCCTCCTCATGAGTTCTCTTCAAAAACCATCTACTAGTGTAGTTTCCTGCCAGCACAGATGTACGAACTCGAGAACACAGTGGATATGTGTGGAACATCTAGGAAGAAAGCCGACTTTTTAAGCGATCATCTATCTCTACAAAAAGAAAAAAACCATCAAACCAATAGCCAAAAAAGTGCTTTCGGTGACAAATATGTTTTCGACAGCAAATATGTTTTCGTGTAGTAAAGATGTAAATATCTTCAAAGGCATAATTCTCCATATTCGGGATAATTACCACAAATACTGAAAAACTTTATAACAAGGCCTTCAGATATCTAGAAGTGTGTTATCCTTGTAACTAGCAGCAACCATGTAGGCAAAGGTCTTCAGATTTGGGAATTCGCGGTGATGGCTTGGAGTAACAACTCTGCTTCAACACCGATTTAAAGTCCACCCGTAGCGACATCTTTGGAGTGTGGTGGACGGATTGAAATCAGGAGTGTGAATAGGGAGAAGTTGAATGTTTTGGAGAAGTTAATAAAGATACCGTGGACGATACCTAGCCTCCCGACACAACCCCAAATCCCGAATCCTAAAAAGATCATATGGTACTACACTAGGCATTAGTACAGAACAAATATTCTGGGTGTAGAGATACTCTTCCCATAGCCGTGGGCACCAGGGATTCTGTCAATGCCTCAGACAAATCTCACTTCTCGTTTCAAATAACCCTATCATCCCACTCAATCTTCCAGAGCTCGAAAGTGCGACGCCATTTCCTCCTCCACTCCATTCTCCCACTCTTCCAACGACCACGTCCCTCCCATCAGCTCTGTAGGGTCACCAGCCCACATAAAAGTTCTTCCAGCCACCTCTTCCCCTTCAATCGTAATCCGTATGCCTTCAACGCTATAAACGGTCGTCTCATAGTGCTCCAGCATCTCCTGTTGCTTCTCGGTCTCCACAACGCAAGCCATGCCATCAACATAGCTGTTAGTTGGTCCGTCCACGAGCGCAGGATATTGCCCCCATAGCATGATTTTGTAAGACTTTACTCTGGCTGGTTTGAGGGCTGGTGGTGTCGGAAGCTGAAGCACTTCTTGGAGTCGCTGTGGATCCGTGAGAGAGCCGTAGAAGAAGAATGGCTTGGGTATGTATGTATATTGACCGAGTGATGGTTTGGCATTGGCCTGGAACTTCTCGAGCATGATATTGCGGTTGGCTTTGTGATCAGAGGGAGGTTTGCCGGTAGGTGGGGAATATATTTGTTTTTTGTTATCATCGTCGACGATCTTTGCGGCAGAAGAAGATCCGCTGAAGCTGTCCATTATATCTTATAATACCGCAGCTGTTGCGGAGTCGAATGTGACGAGGTCGTGGTTGCAAGGCGAGTCCATTGTGATAAACCAGACGTCAGACCATATCACGTGACATAACCAGTTCCAACCTAGGTAGCTCGATACTCTGAAGATATATATTCTCTTGTTTCTCCTTATAACCTCTTAAAATAATCTAATCTACCTCTCTACCCCTATCCAAACTCCACATACCTACCTCCCCTCCACCTCCACCTCCTCCTCCTCATCTCCCTCCCTCTCCTCCCCCCCCATCCTCCAACCCCAACCCCTCAAAATCGCTCTCCACGCCCAGCACACCCAACGCATAGTGCACCCTCCCGCCCTCCTTCAGCAGTCCCCTCCTCTCAAGTTCACTCTTCCCCAAAAACGCCCTATCAATCCTGCGCCCGGTATTCCAAATATCCGTATTCCCCCTTCCTCCCGCCGACAGCCCGGCAGTCGTATCCTTCTCCCCAGGCATCTGCGGCGTGAAACTACTCAACCGAACCGCGCTCTGTGGCGGGAACGGCCGCGCCGGCGTCGCAAGATGGGGGATCTGGTCTTCAAGACGTGTGTAAGGGGGTCCGCGTCCTATCTCGGCGGTTTTGATCCAGCATGTTTCGCAGCCGTTAGCGATGGCGAGGGCGGTTTGCCAGCCTGTGAGACGGGCGACGGTGTGCAGGTGGGTGATGATGTAGGCGCGTTGGGCGGGGGATTGGTACTGCAGCCAGTAAATTAGCGAGACTAACAGGGATCATAAGGGGGGAGGCTTACTTGGACGCCAGAGATGAAGAGCGGTGTTGCGCTTTCTATCAGCGCGGCTCCAACACCTGGGTTCACAGCCGTGGCGGTCTCCATGTCTGGATAGATCCCCGCGGCGATTCGACCCAATTCGTTGGCGTACTGTGCGGTTTCGCGCGCGGCAATACCGGCGGCCATCATGGCTGCTGGAGGCATGGAAGGGTGAGCGCGGTGACAGGCGATGAGTGCCATGTAGAAGTTCATCCAGATGCCCGCGATACCATAGGTTCTGTATTGCAGGGCTGGGCCGAAAGGTGTTTGGATCGGGGCGGAGAATTCAGGGCCAAGTGCTGCGAAGTCCTCGCCGAAGTGGGATGAGAGAAGGGAGAAGGCGTTGATGATGTCTTGCCATTCTTCGAGGGCATCGTGGAGTTGTTGGCCTAGATCTACTTCTTCGCTGCCGGAGGAGTGGGGGGAGGAGGAGCCCGAGTTGTGGCCGGTGGATTGGGAGAAGCCCATGGGGAGTTGCGCTTCTGTTACGCCTGGAACCATTCCTGGGAAGCCTGGTCCTTGTGGTGGAGGTCCTCGTTGAGATGGCGGTGGTCCTTGTTGACTGGTTTGGTCGCCAGAACCGGACATGCCTGGTGGAGGTCTCCAACCACCGTTGGCTTTTATTGCTAGACGCTTTCTTTTTGCGTCTTTAGCTGCAAAGCTGGCCAGACGGCCAAATAGAAGCATTAGATGGTCATATGTTCCGTAACTGGGTATACATGTTAGCAGATGCTTCATGCTGGTCACGGAATAGGCTCTCCTACGTTGCGTTAAGTCGGCCAATTGGAGCTCTTGGAGGACAGAAAGCCCAGAGTCTGTAGTCCATGCTAATATCGGTTAGCAGTGGCATTTATTAACGCGGTGAGTTCTTACAAAAGTCTGCCTCCACCAAGAACACCTTGATAGGCGTCTTGTTTGCAATACCACCAGTAGAGATCTCTTTGTATCTCGTAGTCATCAAGTTCCTTCTGCGAGTAATTTGACGTATCGTCCTGCGAATTCGAGTCCATCACACGCGAGTAATCGTTGTATGGGATACTAGTGCCCATCAGCCTGCCCACAATATCCTCATTTATTTCACCGAGATTTGCTGGCTGTTGAAATCTAGAGTCATAAGGGTTATGGCCTAGGGCCTGCTGTTGCCGGTAATACATATTTTGTTCCCGTTCCCGTTGTCTCTTGGCTTCCTTGATGTATCTTGACATGCCCGCAAAATCAATGACACGCAGAAGCTGCCTCGCTCCGAGGATATGGTTGCTCCATTTTTGATGATCCGCACACCAACACTCGTAGAAAGCTAGCAACAGAGCCGCCGCAAGAGTTGCCGGCTCTTTTTGTCTGTTGGGAAGGTTGATTAATTTTCCAACTCTTCGTAGGCCGATAGCGTAGTGTTTCAACGAAGCGGTGACGGGACCATCTTGGAGTTTCGCGATATGTAGACTCGCTAACGCCAGCATAGCGTGCAGTAGCGCCGAGTTCTGCAAGGCGAGAGTTGGAAATGTGTCTATAACGGTTAGTTGAGAGGTCAAAACAGTAAAGTGCATGTTTAGAGGCTAGAAGATCCAAGAAAGACGGAAGTATGCTGTTGGTTCAGACATGAGGAAAAAGATACTTACAAGTCCATATGTGTTGCTGAGATGCAGGTATCGGTCGACCTTGGAAGATCAAGGATGGGTTTGCAGGATGTCTTTCAAACATAGACATGCAAGGTCCTGTAACGTTTACAAAGTGACAGAAGATTCTGGCTGTGATCGGATCACTCAAAGGAGTAGCTTGGAAGGACGGCACATACGTGGCCAGCATATTTGGACGATCGATAAAGTCCATGATAGATCGTGGATGAACATCCTGAAAGGATTGGCCACTCTTTAAAGCGAATACAACCTGGGCTCCAAGATCGTTGTCTCGAAGATGCCGGTTGTGATGTTCCTCCCGACCGTATTCATCGTAGCCAGTGACCGACGTGTCATCGTCAGAAACATCCCATGGATCTTCGTCGTCATCTTCCATATCTTCATCCTGAGAGTAGACTTGGATGCTTGATTGTGGAGCGATGTGGTCATCGGGTTGGTAATTGGAGTACATCGTCGCATCACGCTGCTTATCGCGCATTGCCCAAACGGCTCCAGCAAGCATTCTTTCTTCTGAAGACCGCGATTGATCTACACTCCCACCTCGTGGACTCGATAGATCTTGTGCTTGCGCAGGAGAGGGTGCACTGCTGGAAGCCGATCGGCTGTCCTGTGCTGCGACCCATTCCGTGGATTGATAAGGTGGGTAGAAGTTCGACAACGAAGACGCTGGGAAACGGTCGTTGTGATCTTGAAATGATTGTTGACCTGTGAGAGATGCACCAAACACCGAATGTTGGTGCTCAGGGCTAGTTTGAATTGGATTTCTGGTGGATCTACCACCAGGCTCCTGCTTGATCGGTGATGCGCTTTGTCGAAGGCCGGTCGGGTCCTTTTTGAATTGATGATATCCGGGTTCTGGGACATGAGATCGATCAACAGTGTCGGCGCTGACTTCGTGGGAGGCAAAGGACGGCCCGCCATCGGCGAAGTTGTCTCTGGAAGCGCTGTTTTGGAAGGGCTGCTGGTAACTTCCGCTCCGTTTGGGCACAGAATCCGATACAATCCTTGAAGATGTAGCTGTAGACTTAGCAGACTGCTTAGATGCCTTTCCGCTTGATGATTTTGGAATGGCAGTAAGAGGTGTTTGGATGATCGTCAACTCCTGAGGCTGGGCATTGCGACGAGCAGCGGACTGATGCGCCTTTGCCGCCAGAGTTGCCGCTGAAGATACCGGTGGTTTGTAAGTGTTGATAGGATCTTTGAAGACTACTTGCTTGATGTATCCTTCGCATTTGCGTTTGGATTTGGTGCAGTTGTGACATGTTGGTCGCTCTTCGCCACACTTTATTCGTCGTTTTCGACATGCTATGAGCGGCGGTATCAGTCATGACCTCTTGGTAGATCGTTGGAGAGTACCAAACAAAGTTTTACTTACTCAAACACCCTGACTTAGTTCTCGTGCGGCCTAGTGCTTTCGTTCTTGGTTTCTTGGCTGTCGACGACTCGCCAGGCTTCTTGGAATCAACGTCGTCTTCTTCGAAAGGTTCGGGAGAGAACTCCGGGCTATCCATCGTGACTAGTATGGGTCTAGTAGCAGAAAGAGTGGTCCTTTGATATTGATTTCGTAAGTGAAACTGTCTTGGGCAAATTGGTGATGTGTTGCCGCTACGAATAGTCCAATGGCTTGGGCTCAGAACAAGGCGGATGTCTCGCTTTCTATAGCGTATAACTGTTCATAGGTGATAAGAAGAAAAGCAATATCGTTTTGTCTCGGATTTAATGCTAGAAGTGTGAGTGTATATGTAGTTTGTGGTGATGTTTGCACGTATGTTTCGGTAAAATATGTGTAGTCGAAAGAAGGAGAGCTGTAATCAGTCAATGATGACTACTGGGAATTCCCGTTAACGCCGGGTGTTTCTAAGCCAGCCGTTGAGAGATGAGAAAACTTGTGTAGGGCAGAAGGATCTTCACGCCCGATCAACATCCCATGAAAGCCTTGGGCGGGAGATGCACCAGGCTTGTCAACTCGAACGTTAATTCGTCTGATGCTGGCATCTACAGACACTCTAATTCTACTGGGATTGAGCGAATTCAGACAATGGCTTGACAGTTGAGAGCTGGTGTGAACTCGAGGATTGCTTCAAGGGCTCCCAGTGGTCCGAATGGGAGAGACAACGTGGCCAGGCTGTATGAGTGCGGGTACCTGTGGTAGTCTATAGATAGTGGAGGGCCGATCGACGTTCCAATTGGGACTGAATGGATGTGGGGTGTAGTTTGTGCGTGATAATGGCTGATGGTGCAGAGAGGTTGCATGTACGTAGGCGTAATGAGAGTGAAAACAGACGTGACGGTGTCGACTGCAGTGTCACGGTAAGCTTCAATGTTGAATCTGATATTTCGAATACAGATTTTCCGATTCGATCTGATCTAAAGAAATATTAGCTTTTTTAACCCTTGTCGAGCTGGGTCATCAGCCTCAGTGTACCGTTTGGTACAATGGACAAGCGAACCTCAAAGCATGACTGGCTAGGTGGAGGAGCAGGGGTAAACGAAAAGATGTGATGAAGATTTATCGCCAATTGGGCTTGAGAGGCTGGATGGCTTGAAAGGCATAAAGATGCAAAGTAGTCCTTCTTTTTGCTAAAGGAGGGTTGACCGTTTGAGGGTTTGAAGTAGACTCAGATCCACTTGAGAACTAGAACTAATGCATGTCTAGGACAACAGCCGGCGCCGGTGTGCAAAGGCCGGTATTGGATTGTGCCAAGTAGGGAGACTAACTGGTCTGACAGCTCTGACTTTCCTACTTGGGCTCTTAGATGTTCTAGTCTGATGACGCACAGGACTCGCAATGTAGGTACGGTACATTACATTGTAAGACAAACTACCGGTAGGCATGGGGAATAAAAGTGTCCGTGGCCAACGCCTTGGCTTGGTATCTGTTGATGGACAGGAGTTGGATATGCTTCGTGGGGAAGAGAAAGCAGAGCAAGTAGGGGGTAATACTTCGCTTCTGAGCCCATACAAGAAAAATGTGTATAATGCATGATGCGGTATATATCTAACCCCGTCGATATTACTTTGTAGCCGCAATACATACCAAACTTAGATATGGTTGGATACCCGTGGTTTGAATGTATGTGTCTAGTTAGCTGCCTAGGTAGACTAGAAACTTTGTTGGGAGTTTGCACGCTCCCGACTCCTTTCTCACCACCGTGGATGGCCCCAACCTCGGATGAGAAAAGACTCCACTTCGCTGCATTTCTGCATCTGCATCTGCATCTTTTCCAAATTCAACACCAACGCTTCCGCCGATTTTCCTCTCCACCCACTTCATTCGTCGCTGCCAGCCGGACTTCCAACCAGAAACAACAATCGACCGACCATCAGATCGAATACATCGATGCTCCGAAACAACATGACGAAAACAGTGATCAGGACGTACCTTTCTGGACAAAACAATACATGCGGTGCTCTGGATGGCAATTCTGCTGTTGATCGCATTCGGGTTTCTGATATTCCGAACTGGCTGAGCGCGTCAAAAGCCAGTAGACAATGTGGATGGCGGAGGTAATTGGCAGATGGCGTCACAACCGGGCTTGCAGATGAATTGATTCGTTTTTCCTTTTGAAGCTGGAACTGAACCTCCTCCCAATGATGGTTTGGATCGCCGACTCTGCATCCAACTGCTTTCGATACTGCGCGGCACCGACACCGATGCGATGGATTAGACGGCCGAGATGACGCTGTGCTGTGGTACAAGGTACCTGGACTGCTGCAAGAGAGAGACTTGCAATATTGGCGTGGACGAAGATCTATTTTCGTGGGTTGACAAAATTGGCCATGCTGCAGCGTCCAATGCAGCTCAATGGGTCGAAGAGGCTGCAGAAAATCTCCATTTGGCTTGTTCTCGTTTTTGCTCCAGCGAGTGATGCGAGGTACTCGTATCGAGGTATAACGGCCATGAGAAGTCGAACCGTCGCACTTATCGTCCATACTCGCAGACGTCTGTGCTGGACGCCGCCTATCACAGCTTGATCGTCAACCAGGGACACAATATCCAGGAAATGCTTTAATGTGCGCAATGCTCCTGCGCTATGTGACAGGCTGGATCCGCGGAAGACCGGGCATATCATTCGCTACAAGTGTGCAAATTGTTTATGCTTCCGGCTGTCACCAATTGCTGAGGCTGGAGCATGTTGTCAATCAATCCTCGTCCTGTATCAACCACAACTGAAAACAAACGGGAAATTGTTTCCTAATTTACCACATTTCGTCATTGAATCGTCGAGCTGATCTCCATGGAGACTGATATCAGAATCGATCAAAGCCAGCTCGAATCCGAAAGAACTGAGCGCAGCGGTGTCGGGAAAGGGGAGAGCGTGCCTCTGGCTGGGAAAAGCATATCAGCAATGTCCCACCTGAAGCCACAGGCGTGCCACTGTCAATTACAACATTAAACAATTGTTTGTGGAGTATAACTCGATCCTAGTCACCGACTCTTCTGACGGTCGTCGATTAACAACCACTTTGGCTGAACAACCACCAATGTCATTGGGGATTTACGTTCGCGGGCCCTGGAGTTGCTATTGGTTTGGCGCTTTCAATATGCATACTCCCCAGGAGAGTTGTCATCAAATAAAGTTGAGTTATTTTTGGCCCCTTCCCCCAGCAAGAACCATCCCTACGCCCAAGCCCCCAAAATGGTGTCGCTGTTTCCGTGGTGCAAACGCAAACAGTAAACACCAAACGAGCCTTACAGCACAGAAGTTCCTGCAATCCGATTTCAAAAGATCTTGGTTTGAGCCGTCTTCAAGATTGATCTTAAGAGTACGAGCAACACCGCCTGAAGCTATCATCTAAATTCCATTACCGACACCTTGCGATGCAGAAGTCCGGATCGACAAGCCTCACAACTTCCCATGGTGTTTTCAGTTTTGTCCGTGCGTATTCAACCTTTCTGCGAGTGCCAGCTTTGCAAGGATGCATGTCCAGGGTTTCCAGACGAACAGTCACGATTATTGGACCCGGGGTGTTGGAGTCTGGCACAATCTTTGAGCCTCTCTTCCCGCACCTCGTGTCTTCCCTTTACCGTTCACACCCTATGGAAAGTAATCGAATCACACTCGGGGATCCCGATAGTACTGCATGTTACAGATTGATATTGCAGGGGAACTAGCCTTAAAATTGGTTGCTTCAAGTGTTGGAATACTACCCTGGTGCACGACCTGGTGTTGTGCTTGCATGAGCTGTTGAACAAGCAGGCGAATTACAAGGTAGAAGCTTCCTAGACCTCGAAGCTAGGTTGAAAGAGATGGCCTCAACTGAGAGTTCAAGACGCCTCGCACATCATATTCAGGATGTGTGCCAGCCTCAAGCCAGCTTAGGTAAATGTATCGCCCCAATTCCCACAAACTTTAGCGAAGGACTTGTGACATCGAGTTTCCTGGGGTGCTCTCCATTTATCTCCAGAGATCAACACATGGGTCCCGTTGATTAGATGTACGGAACCTTGCAGATTCCCTTTATCTTCCGCAAAGAAATCAGTACTTGAGCTATTTCTGTAAAAGCTGTACTTATGTGACGCACATCGAGTCAAGTTACTCGGTCAGCTACTTAGATATGGCATCTGCTTCATACTCCGATTGCTTACCGTCCTAGCAGTCTGTTGATGTCCACATCTCTTATTCCAACCTATACAACGGAAGCAACTTATGTACTCAGTGTACTCCGGACTTCGATGTACACGTGCTCGGTACCCGGTAAAGTGCATGCAATCAAGATGTACCTGGAGACCTCCGGTTAAATGCTCTTATTGCGCAAGGCGACCTCGCTTAAGTCTTTACTGTATCCAGGTCTTCTCAACTCTGGTAACCGGAATCTCTTACCGTTTCACCCTTCTCAAGATGGAACTCCAACATTAAACCAACTTCAACCTCATGCGAGGTCACCCTTCATATGCAAAGTCAGACAGCTCGACTTGCAACAAACCGATCTTTCCGTTAGCCCGCGTCACAACTCGTGGGGATGCAGGTGAGCAAATTCGGTATCGTTTTCCCACGTTTCTCTGAATGCAACCCTACGGAATCCTTCAACGAGCTTACACTTTATGCCATACAACCTACAACATGCGAGGCTATGGTCGAGCTACTTTCCTTGCAGCATATTGGGAAAACGAGTATACGATCGTACTAGCTTCTGTCATTTATGTTGTCATGTGGTTTAGATGGAGAGTGTGGTACCTCTCATTTACCACACTTTGTTTTGACCCCACCGTTCATCCCATGTCTGCATTTCCAATGCGTTGGGTCCCCACGAATACTCGTATCTTACCTCAATTGAACAGGACGACTCTTGCAAGTGTAACTGCCGATCTGTTTCGCCGTCATCGAGCATGAGATGGGAATATGTTTTTGATCCTTCGAGTGTCGGTTAGAGTCGGGAAACACTATTTGTGTCTATGGCAAAGTTGTCAATTGGAGCTAAGGTGATCTTATGCTTTGACCTTGAGCATGGAAATTGTTTAACCGCTGGCCTGAAGAATCAAGGGGTGGGTCGTGCGATTTCTGTCATGTTTCTGTGACCGAGCCTACAGGAGAAGGAGCGGGTACTATTTTACAAGCTGACTTGCAAAGTCATGATCGGATTCAGGAAAACAAATTAAGAAGTGAGCACGAGGAAGTCCTTGTGCAATTTCCCATCTATAACGTTCTATTTCTAGCAGCAATTTGGGTCCATGTCCGTCAAGTCTCCCTGGCACTCAATTCTCTGTTGATACCAAAGCCTCTTGTGCGAAGAAAACATGGAGAATCTTTTCACTTGATCTTCTTGACGCCCAGAGTCTGGGTTTGATATTCTACTTTATGCTACCTCTTCTTTTCACAAAAATCTTGCCAGATCGGATTCTCGATCGAGGAGGATTACGCTTGGAGTAATGGTTGAGATTGACTCCTGCCAGGTGTTTGTGGGTTGTGTCCATCACTTCACACTCTTCAATCACCTACCTCCTCATTTTACAGTCGCTTTCCGAATTGGACAATGTGATGGTGGCTCGCTTGGGGCTACACCTAAGGAAATCAGGAATTTGTTTCCTATATAACGTATTAACAACGTGATTAGTTGCTTTGATACGTTGTAACCCTTTCAGAAGAGAAAAAGGGTTGCAATGAAAGCGGACGAAATTCGTTATTTTGGGGTTTTTTGCATATCTTTACATTAGTAAATCTTTTTCAAATTTATTTCGCAAAAACTCTTATTGATGCGATGACTTGAACGTTGTCATACTTACCTGTTATCACACCAGGGACTGATATTGAAACCCAGTTAGTGTGTAGAAACATAAAAGGGAGATATATTATGTGATGCATTTTCTCTTGCGGCTTTTCCATTGTCGATCTATGTTGAACGCCGGATTTAGTGTGTACATTTCGAGCTCTATTTCGAAGAATTATCGAAAAGTGTTTGTACATGATTTGTTGATCAACAGTCTAGTTTCTTGTGCTCTATTGATTGAATTCAGTCGTCCGCAGATTTCTTTCTCGCAGACGCGATTTTCTAGATTTTCAAAAATTCAGAGAATAGTACTGTAGTATATCACAGTAATAAGCAGTACCTAATGTGTTTTTCTCATGAAATCTAGAGAGCCTTCTAGGAAGCGCGAGTTGTTATATCGTCATCCACAGAATTACAACTCAAGAGTTGTAGAGGCTTTTGCCACTTCACTCTGTTTTATTTTTCCGAGTAATTTTGGACAATTCGGGTTTGAAGAATAACTTTTGGGAGGTGTTGGATTTTATGTTTTGAGAAAATCACAAAGCGGGACTTTGCGAAATTCAGGCGAGTAAGGCTTCTCGTTGGTGATTTACTCGTTGGGAGAGAGTGTCTGGCAGGAATGAATTGTGAGACTCGTTGATTAGTCTGTGAAGCTAGTCGTGAAGGGAGAGTTCTTAGTCCACTGTTCTTGACAGTGAAATGATATTAAATAAGGCATGTTTGCTGTCACCTGCCGTCCGAAACGAGCAAAGAGTATAATCAAGACTCACGTAAGCTGCTTAATGGATGTTAAAATACTTGTTGTAGGTTTTCTTTTATAGTATATTCGGTATATCAAAAGATGTAACGTGCTAAAGTAATTATTAGATGAAGGATTAGTTACAGTTTAGAGATAATAGTATAGAGCCTCGGAGCCGAGATTTCACCTACGTAAAGAGGTTTTTTGGTATTTAGAATATGAGATCCGGAAATAGTGGAAAATACACGTTTATATGCTACAATTACAGTTTTGTTAGCCACGGTATTAAGTGAAGTGATTTATATATCTTCTATATCCCAGTAACACTATAACACTTTACAACTACTTCTCCATCCTCAAAATATTTCTGCAGTACTCCAGCCCTTAGAACAAATTAATTCTTTACCTCTTAGAGGGTTTTCTGTTTTAAATACAGGGGTTGAAATGTGCTATTCTGTGGGTGGGAAATTGGTCTTTTTGGGAGACATCAATATTTTCCATTGAAGTATACTTCTCTACCATGAACCCGACAGTCACACATATCCTCTAATACCAACCACATGATCTCCAACAACGAAATCTTCTACTTTCAGCGAGCTTCCAAATTTATTACCACTGCATTGCTATCAAAATGTCTCAGATATGCTTATGGCTTAGATGAATTGGTTCGAACCTGTCATTTTGATGCTCAGGCGGGACCACGAGGACTTGAAATGTGTGGGCTGTTGTATATCGAGGTTCTGATTTGAGTGTGACTGATTTTGAGACTTGTGGTACAGGTAAGGTTTTGGGAGGAGGATTGTCCTTTCGAAGCTTTTAAACCTTACTCTCCAATACTTTTCAAGCAACCAAATAAGACCATTCAATCATCTCTTCTTGCCTAACTCCGACCTTCCTGACGCTGATAATAGATTCACTTAGGTCACCACCACCTCTATAAATTCCTTGTGGCTACGGAAATGACCACTCCGTTCTTGATTTCAGATTCTTATTTTGCAAGGAAGTGGCTGTTTAATGCCGCTTTCCGGAACCGACTTTTCTTGAAGACTTGGGTACTCGGCTGCCCGGAGTGAGAGGTTAGTTTGGGGATGGAAGATGGGTTTTAAGAGGATGAGTCATTGGAGTTGGTTCTAAGGTGATGAGTTTTGTAGTATGGATTATTAGAGTGGAAGAAATCTGTGATTCCATTAGAGTCAAGCGGATTCTATGTGGAAGGTGTGGGAAGTGTTGTGTAACTTTTGGGGAGTGGATTGTCAAATGGAAGATGGAAATGGAATAAAATTTAAATCCTTAGGAAGTTTTTAGAAGATATATAGGTAGTCAGTTTCTTGATAACCATAGTAAATTGGGGATATGTATGATATCAAAATCATCTGAGATAATCTGAATAGTTGATTATGGTTGGAAATGATGTTAATTATATTTAAGTTCCAATTGAAATAAATGTCGGAATCAGTTCTCTAGTAGAGACGTACATGAAAAATGAGGAGAAGTCAACCGTTTGAACTGGTTATGGAAAGCCGAGATTTGAGTTGAAGTTTTTATTGTGTCTGAATGGAAAAACGACATGATTTACAAAACGTGAGAATGAAGCGAATAGCCCAATCAGCATACTTTATTTCCATGACCTGGGATCTCAAAAACTCCCAATAACTCCATTGAAAACATAGTAAAAGCTACTTTCAGAAAGAGCAGTCTTGAAATTCAAAAATATTGTCGTTCAAGAAACTTACATGACAAAAGTCCCCTGGACCCGCATCAACATCTAGTCTTGGCGACCCCGGAAATAATTTCAACAACAACATCCTCAACCTTAAGAGATCACCAACCCCACACTCACACCTCAATCGCAAAAATGAACATCCTACGCGCCTCCCGCCTCGCCCGGCTCACCCTTATCCCAAAGTCTTACTCAACAACCACAACCACCACTCCCCCTATGCTCCTCAAAATCCGGTACTTCCTGCCCCCTCCCCTTGCAATCCCCATCTCACAGCCTCCAGCAAAGACCTCAAAACCGCCATGCAGCAAAAGGACACGCCGCGTCTGACGGTCCTCCGCGCGCTCCTCGCCTCCACGCTCAACGCGTCCAAGACGTCCGCCCCCATAAACACAGACATGCAGATGCTCGCGCTGCTCCGCAAGAACCTCGCCGCGTCGCAGGCTGCGCAGAGGGAGTTCGAAGGGGCCGGACGCGCGGATCTGGTGGAGAAAGAGGGGGCGCAGATTCAGGTGATGGAGGAGTATGTGGGGGGTGTGGAGGTGGTGGGGGAGGAGGAGGTGAGAGGGGTTGTTGGGGAGGTGGTGAGGGGGTTAGGGGAGGGGGCGAAGATGGGGGAGGTGATGAAGGGGGTGGGTGAGAGGTTGGAGGGGAGGAATTGGGATAAGGGGGTTGTGGCGGGGGTTGTGAGGGAGGTTTTGGGCGGGAAGTGAAAGGGGGGGAGAGCATAGGGGGGATGGATGGTGTGTATGATAGAGGGGTTTGGCATAGCGTTGGTGTTTGGGAAGGATATCTCCATTCTAGGGATGTGTGTAATTGGCATTGTAAGAGGTGGTAAAAGAGAGATGTAGGAATTAGGAAGCATGTTGCAATACTGTGTGAAATATGGTATAATACCTTGTATTGCTGTGGCTATAGCAATGCCAGTTTATAGATTGAAATAATCAGATTTAAAGCACCAACTTTTTACTCCCTTCAAAAGTGAAAAATCGGCTTTTATTAGAGGCCCTTCCAAGATCTTCGAAATAAAATGCATTATCTGAGCAGGGGAGGCTATTCAACTCAAACAAAATCACACCAAAAGCTCAAACCCCTTATTTTCATTAACACATCGCATTCATTACTACAACATCTCCCCTAACAATTACATCCTCCCCATATCACGTTGACCCTCACCATCATAACTCATTCTGGTACCTATTCCACCCCAACTCCCCCAAAGAGAAATCTCCTAATTCCCCAGAAAGCGCCTAAGCAATATATACAGCCCGTCGTATCATCCTAGCACCTAACGACGGTTCGGTTTACTTTCCTCGCCCGGATCATTATTCATCAACCTACCCGAGTATCTCAACTCGAAACATCTCGAATCCGAAGGAATAAAAACAGGATTGCCCCTCGCTTGATGGACTTGTCCCTCTGTAAATAATTAGCCCACCTACTCCATCTACATTGGTAATTGGGAGTCATAACATACCAGTCAACCGAACCTTCTGAAAAAACCGCATCATATGATCATTGAAATCACTTTTCAAAATCCCTTCATTAGTCGTGTCGACATTCGGTGCAATGCTCTTGATTCGGAGTAACATGTTAAGCATATTAGTAACGCTCTCACCCTGATTAGCATATAAGATCGGTTTTCTTTCGAGTGGCCAGTCTGCTTCGAGAGGTGGTTTTTCGTAGGAATTGAAGAACCAGGTTGTCTTCTCGAGACAATTTAGGATAATGAGTCCAGCTAGGAAGAGCTCAAAAGAACGACGCGCCTTTGGTGATTGGAGACGGACTTCGAGGGTCTGCAGGACGGATTTCGTAAGGAGACCGGCCTTCTTCTCCACAGTTGCGGAGAGTTGAGCATTCACGAGACGCCAGGTGCGGTCATTGACTGATGCAGTGGCTGGTGGGGTGATGGTGCTGGCTTTCTTGGTAAGAACCCATTTTACTTCGTGGTCGACGAGAATATGTACCATACACCACAAGTCTAGAGTATCAGAAAGAAATCGAGAATCTTTATCCACGAGACCATCAAGGACTTCAACTGCAAACCCTAGTGTTGTACGCATGAAGTTCGAGGGCTCGTTTTGGAAGAAAACGGGTCTCATTTGTTTGGTGTATGCGTCAATCTTCGGACCAATATCAATAACGTCCGTATCGATCATGTAGATGGTTTCCTGGGAAGGGGTTCTGTCCAGACTAGGATCAATCTGACCAACCACAGGCGCCGATCCCTCGTAAAGAGGAAAAGCAGCAAAGATATTTGCCTCTGGATGGTGAGAAGCTTCTATCTGAACAGCCGAGAAGCGGAATGTAACATGTTCTTTCTCGGCCTCAATCGCCTGGGTCATCAGAGTATGATGTAGACCGGCACTGAACATATCCATTTCTTGAACCAATCTCCTTCGAGAACATGGCTGCTTCCATACCCTTGCGGAGTCTACACTGGCGCAAGCTTTGCAAGGATTTCCCAAAGAACAAGATTTTTTCAAAATCTTGCAACGAATACAAGCACCCTGCTTTCTGACTTCTTGAACCTCAACTCGCCGAGCTCCAGTGAACGCGCCTCTGACCTTTTGTTTGCCATTGTGACGGGCCCCATCACCAGATTCAGCACTAAAAGCGCCAGTCATCGATGCTGCAGGAGCCGGATTGTTTTCACCACTCATAGCAATTGGTCGATAAGTAAGTTGTTCCAGCTGATACTCAACTGGTTGCTGGGGCGGCTCCGCGCTAGGCTGTGCACTTCTAGGATGTTCCGAGAAAGATTCATGAACAGGTTCTGGTTCTTCGACCCAAGAAGGACTATGCGGTATGGCTTCGGGGGGTTCTTCCACAGAAGGTTCAGGTTGAAATGTCTCAGTCATAGCAGCATTCGCTTCTTGAATTTGTTGCGCAAACAGCCTCTCTGCGGCTGCCGACTGATTTCGGGCGTTGAGTGCAGCCTCGTCTCGAAGAATATCTGGATCGACCATACTTGGCGCAAAACTAGCCGCGGCTGCCTGAGCAATGGTTGTAGCTCGTTGTGCCATAGAAAAGTTAGGCGACGATGAACGAGAGGGAACGAATTGTCCTGGGTGTAGATGAGGCGACATATTGCGGTAGGCTGGCAAACCGTGATGCGAACCATTTTCTCCTTCTCCACCACCAAATGACGGCATGGCACTGTAGGTTATATCCATAGCATCGTCTCGTAGATTATCCTGTGAATGCAAATTTGGGTTCTGTTTTGCTTGATCGAGTTCTGTACGCGTTAGTTGAGGTCTAGAATACGTGAGTTCCAACGTACTTGACTTCTCGCGGGCTGCGCGTTGCTCAAAGCTAACAGGAGGATTATCAGGTGTAAAGTGTTCAGCCAGTTGCAACTGATTTGGACCTCCTGGTTGACCACCATTTCGAGGATGATTTTGAGGATGATCAATGCTCCTCGACACTTCCGCAAGCACATCTAACGCGTGCCAATCGTTCCCTCCATTTGGCACATCTCCTAGCTGGCCACCGGGCTGTAGCTGCCCATGTACGAGATAAGCATCGTGTGGCAGATTCCCATGTTCAATAAAAGCCTTCTTACGCTCATCCGCGCTGATTCGGCTACATTTCTTAAGGATATGGTTGATTAACGCGTCGGACCGCCCTTTTGGATATCTCTCGCCACATCGCTTGCAGGTGTGTTCGTATCGATTTGAGTTATCGCTCAACTTTGCTCCTCTATCGAAATGTCGAAGGATCATAGCTGGCGCATGTTAGTCCATTTGCAATAGATGACTCGAGGACGTCGGTGGGGTGGAGGGGGTGTGCTCCACGAGTTGGTTTCTTGGGCATTTTGGTGGTGGAGAAGAAGCAAGCAGGTCGTGTTCAAGAGTCTACTTACGATTTGGTTTCCTCCCCATCGCGACTATCCGAGAGACTCAATAAACCACAAGTAGTTGACAATTCTGGGTTTGGGGATTGTTTTGGTGTACACCTATCGTTGATCCTCGTCACCGCCTGCTGAGCGGTGAAGATTCTTTTGTGGTTGATGAGGGGAAAATTGTTTGGATGCCTAAGGCGTCAAGCATGTGGAGTACCTCTAATGCACGTGATGTCTACTTACGGACTTCCAACTGAGTGAGGCTTGAACTTTACCTTCTTAAGCTAGCTAGGTACTCAAGTATCTAAGTAAGGGGTATCGCATTATTCTACCATGCGACAATTTAAAACACCCTTATATTAGAAAGAAAGGCATGCGAAAAGACTGGAGCGACTTAGCTTAGAAGCCTAGCGTCTCGACTCATGTATTCCATCTAGGCAGCATCTTCTGACTCAACCATCACCTCAATCCCATTCACACATCTCAAATCTCACATCTTCACTCACCAAATGTCATCCTCAAAACGAACTCTCCGTTCCTCAAAGCCCCCAGATCCAGCACCAAAAACCCAACCACCAGTCCAAACAACCTCGCCCGCCCCAATAACCTTCACAGTCCCCCTCTCACTACCAACCACACCCATCAAGATACACCCACCAAACACCCTTCTCCCCTCTCTAAACACAAAATCCCTCAAACTTCTCCGGCTAAAACAAAAAACCCTAAGAGCAACCTCAAGTTCAATATTGAAAACACTCCCAGAGTCCTCACCAACCATTCTCACCGCCCTAAACTCAACTCTAATCTTCGCGCAACATGAAGCGGGTACTGCCGTATTAATCCACAAAGACGGTTGGGTACTGACATGCTCCCATTGTTTCGGAGATACGCTGGAAGAATATGAGGAGGATAGTAAAGTGCGTTGGTTGTTATTTCATGATGGTAAGGCTGTGTTGGCTGAATGTAAGGTGTGGGACGGAGTTCGAGATCTGGCGCTTCTGAAGATTGTTGCTGTCGAGTGTGAGACCCCGCCCTTGGGAAAAGTACCCCAGTTCTCATGTCTAGAAGTTCGTGAAAATAAGATCAAGGTTGAAGAAGCGGTGTATTGTATCGGACAACCCGGAGCCGAAGACCTCGAGTCTTCAACCGCTAGGAAGACGAAATATAACCTCTTTGAGGTATCGTCAGGGAGCTATAGAGGGCTTGCTAAAGGCTCGAATCCGCAGGATAATTCCGAGATAGGAAGTCTAATGCATGATGCGTGGACTTATTGGGGTCATTCTGGGGCGCCGATTGTGGATTTGGACGGGAAGCTGGTGGGGTTGCACAGTAGTTGGGATGATGAGACGGGGATGCGGAGGGGGATTCCTGGGGTGGCTGTAGTGCAGTTATTGAAAGAGAATAGAGGATTGATGGGCCTTGAGGAGGAGGGAGTAGGCTCTAGGGATGATCCGGTTGTTGTATAGATGAGGTTGTTGATGGTTGATTGCATTGTGTTACATGTAAATAGAGTAAATTCATTGGAGAGCTGGTAACTCTCACGGCGGTTTATATAGCGAGGTCGAATTTCCGAAGGAAAGACCCAAGGCAGCCTCAGGATTCTTGATAAGATCGTGAACAGGGGTATTTGTCTCATTTTGCTTTGACTAGAGAGCATGATCAGACTGGCGGTGGTGAAACAGCCGGCCGATCCGCTCTTCTATGTCTCTTGAAGCAAGTAAACTCGCTTTTACTTCCTTCTCGCAACCTCTTCAACACAGCCCTCATTTCCGGCAACTCATTTTGCAGTTTCTGTCTCGCATCATTGTCCGTCCCCTTGTCGAGTTCTTGATAGATCTGACTTTGTATTTCGCTAGCCTTATCTGTCGTGTATTGAGTAAGAGTCTGAGCCACAAACTCGACATCAAGGGTAGCCTGCATAAGGGACGAAAGTGTGTATCGCTGTCGTTGTTTGAAAGCATCTAAAAGCTCTCGGGAGACTTGTTCAAGAAGATATGAAAGAACTTGAGAGGTAAGAGACGATGCTGTGGTGGAGACTTGGGTGTGAACTAGCACTAAGCTGAGTAGAGCCTCATACACATATGCCTTGACTTCCTTCGGTTTCTCCTCGTTAGCTGGGGGCCAATCAGGAGCCATGATACCACGCTTGATGATATTGCGAAGGGTTTCTACAGCCGGACGAGTGTAAGATTGAAATAGGCGTGCGTCAATATCGCCAACAACATTACGAATAGTTTTGCTCTCTTCTGTCAGCTTTACAGCAAATGAGTTCTCAAATTGCGTTGTGAGATTAGGAATGACATCAATGCGAAGAGCTTGAAGATTGCTCAACGTCAACAGCATACGAACATTCTACAAAGATTAGCGTTGACATCTACATTGCCCTGGTTATGACTTACTCGATCGCTAGCATTGACAGTTCCAGCTCCAATGCTAGTTGCTATCACCGTTGCAACTGGACTTGCTAGCCCATCAGTCTCTGTAGTCCAATCATCATCTGTCGCTTTAACCACTCGTTCCGAATTCTCTACTAATCCACTGAAAGCTTTGTAGAGTGTCGTCACAAATTGACTTCGAACCATTTGCAAAAGCTTTGCCGGTGGTGGAGGAATGACCTGGGCATTTCCCACCTTAGCCTCAGAGATGTACAGTATCTTTTGCATTCCTGAGAGAACAGCACTCTCAAAAGCACCAAAATTCGCCGGCATCCTAGTCAAGTTACGGCGTTCAGGTGATCTCCGCCAATCTTCAAGGACTTTGATATTTTCGGCATCCTTATTCCATGCCCCACATATCGCACTCACGCATCTCTCTCTAGCACCACCGATCAGATTTCTTAGTTGCTCTAAAGCAGCACCATCTCCTTCTCCAATAAGCGGGACAGACGCCATCTCGCCGGCTCCAGTTCCCAGCAATACAAGCAGCTTGGCAAGATAGTGTACACCGCTTAGCGAATTCGACCAAGGTGGCCAAAAAGCAAACTTCTCCCAAGCCTCTCCTCGTTTAGGCGACGGTGGTGGCAGATTGTTTGCGTCAAAGTTGAATCGTGGATCTCGTATCGAAGTTGGTGTTAAGCCAGCGAATCCAGCGGATCCAGGGGTGTTTGGTGTAGCTGGTATCGGAGAGAACAATGAGGAGATGTCTTCGGTTGGAAGATCAGAAAAGAAGCCAAAAACTCTCTCCCTGATCATACTGATCAGCTCGACAGTGCCTTTCTGCAATTCAATTGTACCTTCCGAGGATAGTCTGTGGTGCACCCTTGACTCCCCATTGAGACCAGTTGGTAACGTTCGTTGAGCCGATCCGTCTAGGAAACTCTGAACCGTCTTCCAGAACTCGATAACCTCTCCAAGAATTCCTTTGGCAGAGAGCAGCGTGGTCAGATGACCATACATTTTCTCCCAAAGCTCAACAATTTCCGCTGAATCGATTGAGGTAGGCTTGTCTTCCGCAGTATGGCGTGCAAGAGACCGTAAATGCGAAGCTACAACTTGGTTTGTTGGTCGCTCACCATTTGCAAGTCGACGACGAAGGATTTCAATTTCAACCTTCGAACGATCCCAAGTCAGAGTGATTTTGTTCTTAAGATGATCATAGCGACTGAGAAGCCAAACCCAGATGGGACTGTCATTTACTCCCAGTTCAAGCAGAATGCCAATCAATTCCATATGTCCATCCTGCGGGCTACCAGATGGGGTTTCGCCATTCATTGGAAGGTCATGAGTAGCGATGAGCTTACGCCACAACTCTCGCTTGAAGTTTGCGACTTGATCCTCAACATCATGCCAGACACGTGCGGCCAGTAGTATCTGATGTAATTGAGCATCTGTAGGTGGTGAGTTTCCCAGCATCTCAGTGAGGTCTTTCGCTTCCTCGGCGAACTTTCGTGCTTTACTATATTCTTCAACAAGCGTTTCATAATCTCTTCTCTTGATACAATCCGAAATTGCAGCACTGGCCTCGTACATCTCTTTATAGCGTTCGAAAATTGTAGACATCGACTTCAAGCTTTCCTCTTTTTCACGGCCACCCAGAGCAGGACCCCATACTTCTTCTGCCTTTGCCGAAACGTCCAAAAGTGGCTTTTTAATCCCTAGAACCCCAAACTCGCTTTCCTTAGAAAGCGCATTCTTCTTCTTGACATCTGGGGCCATGGCAGTCATAGCAGTTTGGTTTCCACTGCTTGCTCGAAAGCTGTTTCTTGAAGCGTGGCGAGAGTGAGGTCGAGTTCGGGGAGGAGGTACAACGGGGACATCTCCTCTATACTTCATCTCGGTATAAACATTGTCTATGGTGGCTTTTGCTCGTACGAAACGCTCAAAGTTGGACTCGACCAACACTTTTAAAGAAGCCGACTTCTGGTCAATGGATCGCGAAAGGGTATCGAGTCCTTGCAGCAAATCTTGGGTGGAGGCAGTAGAGTGAACTTGCGAGAGAAAAAGCGACGGTGAAAAGGTGGTCGAAGAGAGGAGGAACCTATTGCCTATACATATATTAGATACCTGATATATACTTGTAATATTAGTACTTACGAAGCCCAGTATCATCTTGCACTGGCAACCCTAGCTGCCGCAGTATCCTAACAACGCTTTCGGTGCTTCCCAGTGGATCAGGCTCGTCCCGCTGCACCAGATTCTCAACTCCATTATTCGACTTCTGCGATCCTGGAACGAGACTCCTCCTGTCGCTGGTTGCGCGTGCTAATGCCGAGTATCTAGATTTCGATCTTCGAACTTTGGTCATCCGCTTTGCAATCGGTTCCTCCTCCTCCTCCGATGCCTCACTATCATCTTTCTCTGGCGGCCATTCCAAGGGGTATGGAGTACTCAGTCCATAATGGTCTAGAACTGTTTGGGCGTAATCGGTCATATTGAGGTACCCTTCCGGCTTCGCTCATAGAAGCGCAGAGTCGTTTCGCATTTCATACAGCTATCATCATAAAAGCCGAAAAGGTGACCGGCACGCAGCGTCGCATTTGAAGTTAAAAAGCACAAAGTATATTCTTATTGGTGGTGTTGTTAGCTTCAATACGGCGGCGCATCGGCGCCTAGTGCGTCTTCCGAATTTACGGAGCTTGAGCGCTCAAGGTCCGTAATCGGTTTTTCGAGGCTCTTGCCGATTCAGTTATCGCAAACTTCCTCCTTCCAACCGCCCACCCTACACCCTCATTTCTCCTATACCACACTCCTGCGACGACAACTGCATTGTCGCAACAGTCATTATGTTAGCAATTCGCTCAATTGCTGCTCCTGCGAGGCGGCAGGCTTTCCATGCAATCCCCCGCGCAACAGCATCAATTTCTGTCCGAGTAAGTTCGCGTTTCCTGGCACAAGATGCTTTCTGTGGTAAAATTGCTGACGAGTGGTTTATATAGTTCCAACGAGGTTATGCCACTGACAAGAAGGGAGCAGTCGCCAAGTTCCACGGACAAAAGGACACTGATGTAAGGATTCGATAACAACTCAGATACTCGAGATAGCAACACAGAAAGGGCTGGCGGGCTCAATTGACTTCCAGACACAGACCATAGGGGCAGAGGATGCTGACTTTTAGAAGGGCCTCTACACAGTTAGTTTGATCGAGGGTGACGGTATTGGGCCAGAAATTTCACAATCCGTCAAGGACATCTTCTCAGCCGCCGGCGTAAGAATACACCCATTCGCAGGAAGAATTACCACTAACACATATTGAAGGCTCCAGTCAAGTGGGAACCAGTCGACGTTACCCCAATACTAAAGGATGGCAAGACTACAATCGCGCAAGAGACCATCGATAGCATCAAAAGAAACAAGGTTGCGCTCAAGGGCCCTCTAGCTGTGAGTCTGATTCTATAGATGGGTGCAGGAACTTTACTGAGCTTCATTAGACACCAATTGGAAAAGGCCACGTCTCTCTCAACTTAACCCTCCGCCGAACATTCAACCTTTTCGCAAACGTCCGACCATGCCGCTCTATCGCCGGTTACAAGACCCCATACGATAACGTAGATACCGTCCTGATTCGAGAAAACACCGAGGGAGAATACTCTGGTATCGAGCATATTGTGGTGGACGGTGTTGTGCAGAGTATTAAGCTTATCACAAGGGAGGCAAGTGAGCGCGTGCTGCGATTCGCATTCCAGTACGCCGAGAACATCAACCGTCTTAAGGTCCGCGCAGTACACAAAGCTACCATCATGAAGATGAGTGATGGTCTTTTCTTGGGAACCGCAAACCGTGTCTCCAAGGATTACCCAAACGTCGAGTTCGATGCTGAGCTTTTGGACAACACATGTTTGAAGATCGTTACCGATCCAACACCATACAACGACAAAGTTCTGGTCATGCCTAACCTTTATGGAGACATTCTCTCCGATATGTGCGCTGGGTTGATTGGTGGTCTTGGTCTTACCCCATCTGGAAACATTGGAGACGAATGCTCCATTTTCGAGGCTGTTCACGGATCTGCTCCAGATATCGCTGGCAAGGCTCTTGCCAATCCAACTGCTCTTCTCCTTAGTTCCATCATGATGTTGAGACATATGGAATTGTACGACCACGCGCAGAGAATTGAGACTGCTATTTTCGATACCCTAGCAGAAGGAAAGACGTTGACTGGTGATTTGGGAGGAAAGTCCAAGACACACGAGTATGCCGGCGCAATCATCAAGCGTTTGTAGATATGTATATCCCTTGATCGGGGCTGTAGACTGTACCATTGAACCAATTGCATAGCCTGTTTTAAAGCATTTAGAAATTGAAAGCAGTCTTAAAATCCATGTGATGGGCTCGAGAATGATTTGACCTGTTCCTCGCAGAGGTATGCAAAGGTTAGAAGGAGTTTTCCGACATATTGCGATATCGTATCTCGAAAGTGCACAAACTTGGTTTGTTGTGAGTAGACGTTATTTGACTACTGGTGCTTTAGCGCATACAGAACTCATTCCCGACTTGAATATAATACCTATCATGCTACTTCGATACCCGATAATTCTCCATGCATCATATCCGGCCTAACCTCAGAATCTATAAGCTCCTGCATTAGAGCTTAAAAGGTCATTGACCCTGCATCTCACCTGCCGAAATGGATAAAATGTTGTCGTTGTACGAGTACAGGACGCTTCCACCACAGAAGCCACACCCCTGTCGTCCAACAACGTGGACATCGAAGTGAAGATCGATTCGCTACACCACGACAACTCAGTGACTGCATTTCTCTCATTTCTCTTCACACCTTCCTTTACCTTCTAACCTAGTCACAATCCACCTTCACTAAATCGATGAGAGATTCATGACCGACATGCTCTCAGTCCCCTCACCCCAGTCCGCGTGCATCGACCTGACCGTCCACCAATAACACACTCATCCCCCCTTTACCTCGCAACACTACGAAGTGTTAATTTGCCAACCACAAATATGCCGGGCTTCGGTACTATAGGTTCAAGTGGCCGTGGTGGGAAGTACGATCGATTAAATACTGCGAGTCCTCCGCCGCCAGAGGATCTGCCTCCGCCGGAGAGTTTACCTTCGTTTGATGTTCATCAGGCGACGCAAAGGATTCTGAATCAGCATTTGAAGACTTTTCATAGTAGTAAGAGGAGGCAGTTGATTATCATGAGTTCGTCTTTTATTGGGGCGTTGTTGTTTTTGTATTGGGTTATTGGGTGAGTTTGTTTTCTTATTTGGACGTGGGAGAGGACTTTGGATGGCTGGAGTGTGTATGTTTTGGAGGGAGTACTGATGTTGAATAGGGTTAAAGGAAATGCTGTCTGGCAAGGCTGTGATTCTTATCAGGTTGGCTATCAATGTCAACCTGAGATATCACATTATTGGGGTCAATACTCTCCATACTTTTCTGTTCCGTCAGCCATTTCATCGGATATCCCAGATCAGTGTGTAGTCACCTTCGCTCAAATCTTGTCTCGTCATGGAGCGAGAGATCCTACGAGTTCCAAGACTATGTTGTACAATGCTACCGTTGAACACGTTCATTCAAATGTGAAGTCTTATGGGCCTGGTTATGAGTTTATCAAGAATTATAAATATACTCTTGGAGCTGATCAGCTCACTGGATTCGGTCAACAACAAATGATCAACTCTGGAAAGCATTTCTACAATCGCTACCATCGTCTTGCTCTTCACACTGCACCCTTCATCAGAGCATCTGGTCAAGATCGAGTCCTCGAATCTGCTCAAAACTGGACACAAGGCTTTCATGACCTCCGCATGAGAAATAATCCAGCCAAGGTCTACTATCCATATGACATTCTAGTCATTCCCGAGGATGAAGGATTTAACAACAGTCTTAGCCACGGTCTCTGTAAGAACTTTGAAAACGGACCCAGCTACGGCCGTGACGCACAACTCATCTGGGCCAAAATCTTCACTCCTCCCATAACCGCCCGTCTCAACAAGAATCTCCCCGGCGCAAACCTAACCCTCACCCAAACAATCAGCCTCATGGACCTCTGCCCTTTCAACACCATCGCCTCAGACAAAGGCAACACCATCTCCCCCTTCTGCGACCTCTTCACCGAAATGGAATGGAATCAATACGACTACTACCAATCCCTACAAAAATACTACGATTACACCTGGGGTAATCCCCTCGGCGCAACCCAAGGAGTCGGTTTCGCCAACGAACTCCTCGCTCGTCTCACCAATACCCCAGTGAACGACCATACATCCACAAACTCGACCCTCGACTCCTCGCGCAAGACTTTCCCTCTTGGCGGCAATACATCCCTCTACGCAGATTTCAGCCACGACAACGACATGACCTCCATCTTCGGCGCTCTCGGGCTGTATAATGAGACCCGACCGCTCTTGAATACGACCATTGAGAATGTCCAGGACACGAATGGGTTCTCGGCCTCTTGGACGGTGCCGTTTGCCGCCCGCGCGTACTTTGAGAAGATGACTTGTGTGGGTGCGAAGGAGGAGTATGTTAGGGTGCTGGTTAATGATCGCGTGTTACCGCTGGAGAGTTGTGGGGGGGATGCGCTGGGACGGTGTACGTTGAGGAGGTTTGTGGATAGTTTGGGGTTTGTGAGGGGGGGTGGGGGGTGGGAGGGTTGTTTTAGTTAGGTGAGGGTTGTTTTAATTAGGTGATAGGAGGAGGGGGCAGAGGGAAGGAAGGGGGGAATAGAGGAAGGAGAAGAGGAGAGGGGATAGAGTAGAGTAGAACAGAGTAAAGTAGATTGATACCCGGGTAGAAGGATACCCACCTACCTAGATAAAATACACCTAAATGAAGATATACCTAAATAACCACGCTTAATCAACTCAGATTCCATGAAAAGTCTTCCAAAAAACCGCCCCTACTTCTCTTATTTATAGCAAACTTAAAAAAAAACACCTCCATAACTACTACTATCTCACAAAATACTTCTACAATCAACTTCTGAGAAATCTAGGTAGTAGGTACGTTAACATTCTGATAAAATATTGTAGTTGTGGGATTGGGATTGACGTGTAGTATGGAAGTTTGTGGGATGGGATGGGATTGTGTGGGATGGGATTGTGTGGCACTTGATTATATCGATTTCCAGCCACAGAGAAGAATTTAAAGATTTGTAATTAACTTTCTAATATACCTAGGTAATCACACACTACCACACAACTAAACGAAAGTTACGAAACACCTTAACTTAACAGGAATATCCACACTCCTTACACTACGCACGATCTTCCTGCAAAGTCTAGGCTATACCTAAAGTTTCAGTATCTCCACACACTATCGCACTTTTAGAACTGCATTTCTCATTGATGGTTATCGAATGATACTAGCAACATATCTTCAGAAATCGCACGTGAGGATATGGAAAAGCTGTGATAGCTTTGGGATTAGTATGAGCAGCACTTGCTGAAATTGAACTTTGAAGAAGAATCATATCTTCCAACTAATTGGATATCAAAATCCCACTGCCAGCCCAGTCTCTGCCTAGAGAAGGATTCCAGACGAACGATTCTCCACAAGCTCAGGTCCAGGAAGGACCGGCTTTACAAGATCTGGCCCTCCGATCATAAGTGCAGGAAGTTTCTAGCCGCGTAGAAGATCATGTCAGACACTAGACCCACACAACCAAAGACCTGAATCACAACATATTCTAGAGAAAAACATTCATGATTCAACAACTCCATTCGATTCAGCAACCCCCCTAGTTCCAGCAAAAATACATACATCTCCCTAATCAATGATCAAGTGCGAAACTCCATATAACCCCCACACCACCAACCCCCTACTCATGAGAGGGTATGAATTATTTCAAAGCAAATAGCTAAAGTAAAGTTTGTCCTTCTCCCCAACGCCACCCGTATTCTAGTTTGTTTGTTGCGCCCGGTTCCTTGACAGATAGTCGTTTTCTAATAGCAATTCCCTCCTTTCGACGTATTTCGTTTGTCTTCATATATACAAAATCCACTTGCTGATACACGATGTTTGATCAGGGGAACTATAACATGTAGGCAGTTCCGCCGAAGATAACCATTCCTACGCCAGCCCACCAGACCATACTGGCATCGATTCGGTGGAGGAGGGAGCGTTTTTCGAGGTTTTCGCCGTCGAGGGTTCGTTTGATGTGCTTTGCGTTCGCGTTCAAGGGGATCGCGAGTTCTTCTCCTCGTGGTTCGGCTCCTGCGGTTCTCTTTACTTTCCCACCTGTCGCTGTGGCTGTTGGGTTCATGGTGACTGTTGGGAGCATTTGTGGTGGTCTGTAGGCGAGGAACATGGGGTTCATTGGAGTTCCGTCGAATTGATAAAGATCGAGACGAGTCAATTTTGTGTATGGGTCAATGTAGACTTGCCATTTCTATTTCAATTAGTGTTGATTCGGCTTGTGTGATACGCATTCCTTACCGACATAAGTTCCGTTTGGTTGTATCTGGTGTATGTGGCATGCGATTCAGATTTGCATCTATCTGAAAGTAGTTGTCTTCCGTCCACTGCAAAAGGAGTGAAAGCTAAGGAGAGATCTGGATTCATCACAACGGTTCCATGTTGGAACTGCATGACTCCAGAAGGACATTTAGGATCGGAAGCTAACAGCAATCAGCATATATCCGTGTGAAATGGAATTTGCCCTATCTTACGATTTGAAACAGCTCTGTAGTATGCCTCCTCGTAAAATCCATCTGCTGTAAAGGAGTACGATATCCCAGTATGGCTCGGCTCGATAAAACTATCGTTCACTGGATTGTAAAAGCCCTAGACGCGCACCATTAGCTTTCCACCTCAAATATCCTCATCTTGACTCCAGCAATGCCCTCCCTCCCGGATTCGTACATACCGGCCCCGTGAGAACCTTCGCAGATTTTGTCGACCATGTACCAACGAGTTGAGGATCAATTTGAGCGGAAGCGGTGGATGCAAGGCATACGCCTGCGATCAGTAGCGACTGTAGGGTCATGGAAGGCATGATGTGATTTGGTTGATTAGTGAGGTTGAAGATGGTGACGGAGTTGAGATACACGCGCAAGTCTGGTCGTTTTGGAAACGGTCGGCAAGCGCTCCCCACCAGCCACACATGTGGCGTCTTTCAAATGTCATCCCTGCCCGGGCTCGCGGAGGAGACTACCTACCTAGGTAAATAATTAGTCGAGTTCGAATAGAGTTGAAAATTCTTATTTACTGAAAATAATTGACGAAATAGTGATATTGTTTCAAGTTAATCTACTAAATACACGATATTTCGTCAAATTAATCTAGGAAATATTAGTTTACGACTGCCACTTATTTTGTCCTCCGCGAGCCGGGCTTGCCAAGTTTGGGGGGAGGGGGAAGCCGTATCCAAAAATAGGATTTTGATTATCGCAAATATTGCATCAGTCTAGAATCAGGTACAGCTGCAGTTCTTAGAGAAATTGCAGTAAGGGAACGAACATTCAATATCATTTGTCAGTATATCGTACTTTTGGCTCTAGTCTTTCAACTTGGACACTTTGTTAAAGGTACATTCCCTAGATCAGAATTTGAGAATGATGGCATCCACCACAGCTTTGAAAGCTGCAAAGAAAGAATTGCGGACGATTATGAAGCAGAAACTAAGAGACTTAGCGCAAGATTCTGTTAATTCTCAGAGTAAGCTCGTGACTAACTCCCTGCACACTCATCACTAACACTTCCCAGGTAGTAATCTATTCAAAAGTATCACCAATTTCAAACCTTACCAAAATGCGAAACGAATAGGAATCTACTTATCGATGCCAAGCGGAGAAGTGCAAACAGACTCAATAGTGCGCCATGCCTTGGAATCTGGAAAGCAAGTATTCGTACCATTCATACATAAGTCGAGTTCTTCATCGCCTGATACTCCAAAATCCGTAATGGACATGGTTGATATTCGATCACTTCGAGATTATGAGTCTCTGGAAAGAGATAGCTGGGGAATTCCAACTATTGATTCCGAGACCGTGAAAGAAAGAGAACATATCCTCGAAACATCAGCTGGAGCGAGCGGGCAGCTTGACATGATTCTAATGCCTGGAGTCGCCTTTGAATTGGATTCTCAGACAAATTTCGTAAAACGTCTTGGGCATGGAAAAGGCTTCTATGACTATTTCCTGCATAGATATCTGGAAGGAAGAGGGACATCGGCCAAAGAACTGTCTTTGGGGCCTGGAACTGATGCATTACTCTATGGTCTGGCTCTGGAAGAGCAACTCTTGCAACCTGATACTCAGCTTTCGGTGCCTACCGGAGAACATGATCATCTTCTACATGGTTTGCTGGTGGGAAATGGAGCAGTAATAGGTGATCCGGCTGAGTCCTCTTAACATCCGAAAACCAACCTTCCACACAGACCGGTTCATTTCTCTAAACCATTTTCCACTTTCGGTATCGTAAATCCGGATTGACCAAACGCCTTTTCATTTAATTCATCCTTGTAAACTTTGAATCAATGATACATTATCGCCCTTCAGTAAAATTTGTCCTAAGAACCGGGTTAGCTACACATCAGAATATTTGTTTCGAAAGCGCCTACCTAATGATCTCCTGCTCTCCTCGGACGTCTTTGTAGCTTGCTTTACCTCCACCGCATCGTCGATAACCAGGTTCATGAACTCGTCGAAACCCTAACACCCCTTGTTAGCCTGATATTCTCAAGAATCTGGACGTTCCTCACCCTAATTCTGCCTTCGATTCGAATCGCCAGCTGCTCGTAAAGCCAGATTTGTACCGTCGAGTGCTGTTGCAGGAGCTTGAATATGAAATTGATTGGGGGAAGAAGGACTTTGCGCCCACCGCCTCCACCACCTCTGTTCATCTTTGCGGTTGGATTGACGTAAAAGGTCGAAAAGAACGTACTGTAGCAATGGCGCTGATTGAGGATCCTAAAGTGATGGTCGTCGCGTTCCCCGCAGTATCAGTATGTTGTCGCGGTCTGAAGCTTTTTGGCAAGGCTGCAAGGTCATAGCGCGCTAGTGGGGATTTATTTGGATGGCAGCCGAGTTCATTCTCTTGACAATGCAATTCACAACAATCTACACATAATTCTGCAACTCACCTCTTACCTTTCTTTTGACCGCAAATTGTATCGAAGTACCCACAGACCTTAGAAGGGGATCGTCAGGGACATATATGCGATTGCTGTGGACTTGAAGCCGTCTTTCTATTGCCCTCTGCCCCACCATCACTAGATGGTAGTCATGGCTTCAAATGGGAGCAGCCAACAGGCTTTTGCGCCGGTACTGGCGGCCATGGCAACTATGCGTGATGGACAGAGGGAGCAAAAAAAGGCGGCGCATGTCTTTCTAGAGAGCTTCCAGAAATCTGTGCGTTTATGGTGGGGTTATTGTTCAATGGGTAAACCGCTGACAATCATGTAGAGCGAAGCATGGCAGATCACGATAGGGCTTTTGCAATCAGATGCCGATGCAGAGGCCAAATTGTTCGCGGCAACTACACTAAAGGGAAAGGTAGCGCTGCGTGTATTCTTGAGGGAGGATTTGGCTAACGTGACAGATTACCTACGATGTTAATCAGATACCCCACGATGCCCTTCCGGCCTTACGAAATCAGATATTAGAGCTGCTGAAACTATATGCGTCTGGTCTACGTCCCATTCGAGTACAACTATGCGTCTGTTTGGCAAGCTTGGCTATACAAATGACGGAGTGGAAAGATGTCGTTCAACTAGTGGTATCAACATTAGGCGACTCGAAGGAAAGCCATACCTGTATTCTCGACTTCTTGAAGGTCCTACCCGAAGAGGTTACCGAGGGACGAAAAATCAATCTGACAGTATGTGGGCCGCGAAACACCATCCAGACAGAGACACATCGACGTTGGGTTGTGGGGAGAATAGCTGTATAAAGTCTAATGCGAACCATAGGAAGATGAGCTGCAGTCTAGGACGCAGGAATTATTAGGGGACAACGCCCGGCTGGTGGTCCAACTTTTGATAAATTATACGCAAGCGTCAGGTATGAAAGCATTGTTACCACGTCAGATACCAATACTGATTGTTGTTATTAGGATCCACTTCTACGAATCCTCAGCTACTCGAAGTCATTACTTCTTGGTTACGAGAAGTTCCAGTTGCTGATATAGTGAATTCGTCTTTATTAAACACCATATTCGGTGCCCTGGATTCGGAACCCTCGTTTGAAGCGGCGGCAGATTGTCTCTGTCAGATATTCAGAGAAACACGTGAAGTTGATGAGTACATGCCGACAATTGGCATTCTCTTACCTCGCGTTATTGCTCTTCGACCTCGAATCCGCCAAGTTGCACAGCAAGCAGATGTTGATGCGGATATTTACAAAGGATTGACTCGAATCTTTGCCGAAGCCGGGGAAGCATGGGTAGTTCTAATCGCTAGAGAACCATCAGCATTCAGACCCCTGGTAGAAGCCGTGCTAGAGTGTGCAGCTTTAGACAAGGAAAAAGATGCCATAGCCTTGACATTCATATTCTGGTATGAATTGAAACTTTATCTCATTCTGGAGAAATATATCCAGGCCAGAATGGAATACGTCGATGTTTATTCGAATTTGGTTGACATTATGCTAAAGCAACTCGAATATCCAGCAGAGAACCCTGGCGAGGACGACCTGTTTGATGGTGACAGAGAAGTGGAGGAGAAGTTCCGCGAATTCAGACATCATATGGGTGATGTTCTCAAAGACTGCTGCGAGATTATGGGTGTGACCCAATGTCTTACCAAGGTATTAGAAAAAATGAAGACATGGATGTCAGCCAACGCAAGTCAAGCAACTGCAAATTCAGTGCCGCATTGGCAACAGCTCGAGGCACCTTTGTTCAGTATGCGGGCAATGGGCAGAATGGTCGACAAGGAAGAGGACATTATTCTGCCGCAGATCATGCCAATGATTGTGCAAATTCCACATCATGAAAAGCTACGTTTTGCGACGATCATGGTCTTGGGCCGGTACACCGAATGGACGTCCAATCATCCAGAATTTCTCGAGGCACAATTCACATATATTGTATCGTCGTTTGCAACGGATTCGAAAGACATTGTGCGAGCTGCCGCTATGTCCATGAAGTTCTTCTGTACCGATTGCAAGCATCTGCTCAGCGGTCAAGTACTTCAGCTTCAACAATTCTATAATCAGACTTTGGACCAGTTACCAGGTATCAGTCAGGAGGAACTGACTGAAGGTGTAGCAAGTGTTGTTGCAGTTCAACCACCCGCGCAGATATTTGACCTCATGAAACTTTATTGCGACCCATTGATGGAACGATTAATGGCCAAAGCGAATGCGGCTTCAGACGATGCGGGAAAGCTTGCAATTGCTGGTAAGTTTTATCATCTATTGTGCTTCATGTTGCTAATCACATGTTAGATCATCTTCAATTAATAACCCTCTTTGTTCAACTGGTAGTTCCATATGTGGAACCGGGCCAGGAAAACCCGGCTGTAAAATACTGCCAGGAAATTTTCCCAATTTTGGCTACTATATTGGACTCTTTTACAGATTTCACCCCAATTTGCGAGAGGGTATGTAGGTGCTGGAGATACATGATTATTTCCTACAGAACGGCCATGGCGCCAATCCTCCCACAAATGGCCAATAAGCTCGCCACCGGATTTCAAGTGTCGAAGCAGGGATGCTTCCTTTGGGTAACCAGTGCTATTCTGAGAGAGTTTTCTGAGGATCGAGAACATGTAGACGAAAACACTACCGAAGCCATATATGCTTTCTTCGAGGCTCAGTCAACGAATATGCTTCATATCATGAGCGACGTAGCACCAAGAGACTTGCCAGATGTCATCGAGGACTTTTACCGCCTGATGCTAGACGCGCTCCTCTATTATCCACACAAACTCATCCCTTCACCACTTTTCGCACCTATCTTCCAAGCTGGTGTGTCAGTATTGGTTCTTGAGCAGCGAGAGCCAGTGTTAGCTACCCTTCACTACTTACGCGACGTTATTGGATATGGTGGAGACAACCCACCACGAACGGGAGATGGCCCTAACCCACCTGCGATCAAACAGGCTGTTCAGGAGCTGATTCTTGCAAACGGGGAACTTCTTGTTAAGCAGATCATGGCTGGCATGATGATAACCTTCCCAGATGACTGCTTCACCGATGGTAGCGGCGCCCTTCTTGGACTCTTTGAGATATTGCCACAACAAACAGCAGCTTGGGTCGACAAGACGGTTCGCCTGCTTCCACAAGGAACAATCAAGGAGCCAGAGATTGACAAGCTCATGAACGGAATTCGAGACCGACTATCACAAGGTCAAGACGGTGTAAGAAAAGTACGCAGCCTTCTCCAAGATTTCACCAACGTCTATCGAAGACGGTATGTGGCGCCTAGAGACGGTCTCGGTCGTTTAGAACCTGAAAGATTCCATTTCAATGCTTGATTTGATCCTCTATAAATTGATTGTTCGCCGTTTATATCCCGAGTGCTTTTTTTTCTGGTCTGATTTTGGGTTGCATGGCATAGCGGAGGGAGGATGTGGTGCGTCTAGAGGGTTGGTGCGAGGTGGGAAGTGAATATAGGGTGATACCAGGGGAAGTGGTATTTAATGAATGATGGCTTGGCTTGTCGTGCGAGGTTGGCTTGTTGGTACACGAGGACGTGCGATGAGCACAAATGAAGAGCCGATGGCGATATATATCTGGAGTTTGCGGTATCTGAAAGATGGCAGTATGAATTTGTGGACAAGGCAAATGGGAGATGGGAGCAGGAAAAGGAACTCCCATTAGGGCAGGTAAGTAAAGAGCATGTGAGATGGAAATGAATCGGAGGGGTAGATAGCTAGCATTTTCTGAGGTGCGGCAAGGGGATATCTGGGATTTTGATGCTTAGATTTTTTTGGAGGGTGAGAAATGAGATGTTGGTGTGAATCAAAAGGTCTGTCTTACGCCATAGTGTGTCAAAGGGGTGAGTTGTTGGTGGGTGATATACGTGATTTAGCTTCCGTCGTCGCTAGCAAGTAGATATGGTTCAAGTCTTCTCTTCTCAAGTTCTCATTATCATCACAATCACATACTCTCGAAATCAATCATCTTCCTGATTCATGACTAAAATATACAGACTCGTTCGATCCGGTGATTTATCTATACATCGTATTCTGTTCCAGAAACACATATTAATCACTTCCGCCACCTTGAAAGTGCGAATCACAGGCTCCTCAATCAGTCAACCTCCGACTTCTATAACTCAATATATGAAAATCCGTTTGATTTACTTTATGTGTCTATACACCGTATTTCTGTTATAGAAAAACATTTCCGTCACCTCTAAAGTTACAATATCCTATTCGCTTCCTTCACGAAAAATATTGCGCGGAAAGGGTCATCCATAAGTTGATAGGTTATAGATGTTAAAAATTACATCGAGACTCGTATGTACACACGGCTTAGTTGAGACGATGTAGATTTTAATAGACAGAGTTGTAGATTCTCATAGATAGAGTTGTAGATTTTTAGAGGGGAAGTAGAGGCTGGCGGGCATAGAGAGAACAATATAGGTATAATAATTATTAGATGGTTTTCGATTCTAGATTTTGCTGCTTGTGTGTTATAACAAGAGGAGAAATAGGAGGGTAGGAAGGTGGATGTGGGTTAACTTACGACTCTTGGGAAGTATGAGTTCATAGGTTTACTTACTTATTACCTATCCCACAACGCATCCACGATTTTACAGGCTCGCAGCAATCAACGCTCCCTACGCCCCAACCTTCAAAACCCACGCATCGATTTTCGGAGCGAAGGAACGGTAAATGGGCTCTGGTTTGATATTGGCATTTCTGTGGTGGGTGTTAATAATTAAGGTAAGATTACTTTGTGTGACTCTACGGGAGTGCTGCTGCCTTTTCTGTGCAATGCCTAGTAGAATTATGGAAGATGATTAGGAATTGAGAACGACGAAACTAGAAGTTGGAATACTTAAGTCATGTTCGAGAGATGCAAGACTCTTACCAGATCTCAGGTTTCCCATCATCATTAGTTTTGACCTTTCTAGAACTCTTCCGCTTTACTACTAGAGTCTTGCTGTTGAGGATTTGATGGGGTTAGTGATTCATTCCACGGGAACCTACTTAATAAGATCAAATAATCACATCACTTAGCTACCCCCAACTCAACTCCGTGGTAAGTTTCTTTGGATGACATAATCATAACATTAATATCATACAGCCAAGCCCAGCTTTATCTAAACACATGTATGCATTTTCACATCCCTTCCATATCCGCCCAAAAGACACGGTTTCATCCCCTCATGACCAGATGCAATCTCTCAACCAATATAATCCTCATCCCCCGCAACCTCATAATCCAAATTCTCCTCTCGTTCCCGCTCCTCCCTCTTAATCTCCCTCTCCCTCACCCGCTCCGCACCAACATCCTTCATATCCACCTCCCCCTCCTCCCTCTTCACCGGCGTCGGCAACGGCTCCGTAACCCATTTCATCTCCACCTTGCCGACACCGGGAATCTCGTCGTGAGCGCTGTTCATGAATTTCTCAGCCGTGAAGCGGTCTTTGAATGTGATGGTCGTGGTCGAGGGCGTTGGGTCGAGGGAGGTGAAATCGCCGATGCCCTATTATCTAAATTAGCAAAACACAGCTCGAGAGATGGAAAAAAAAGGGCTTACCAAAAGATGCGACCGCAACGCCTCATCACTCCCCATCTCCGTGAAATCCACACCCGAAACCGCAATCTTCTTTGGTCGATTATCAAGTTTATACGCTCCACCCCCTACAAACGGCGCACCGCCTCTTCCCCGTCCGCCCCGGAAACCACGCGGTGCAAAGGTCCCTCGCCCACGATATCCCCGTCCCCGGCCTCCTCTCCCACGATATCCATAACCCTCATCTGGCAGCGGTTGATCCAAGCCAGGAAGACCCAAACTCGCCGCTTCCGCCTCCAACTTCGCAAGTTGCGCCTTCAGCGCTTCAGTCTGCGACGTCTTCGCATCCGTAGGCGCGCCTGCGTCACCATTCAACTTCGCTTTCGCCTCCAATTTCTCCTTCAGTTTCCGCGTTTCTTCAGCTCGGACTCTATTCAGTTCTTCCTGACGTTTTTCGAGCTCCTTTCGCGCCGCTTCCATTTCGAGTTTCTTCTTCGCCTTTTCATCGTGGACTTTCTGCGCCTCTTCTTGCTTGCGCGCAAATTCTTCGGGGTCGATCATCGGTTCGTCGGTGTCTCTTGCTGGGACGGGGCCTTGGGAGTTGGTTTCTCGTTTGGGAGCGCCGTTTGCACTTGTAGCTGACGCGGGTGGTTGCGGTAGGGCGTCTGGGGTGGTGTACCAGTAGACTTTGACGAATCTGTTGTCGAATATGACTTTAGGCGAGCCATATGCTGCTTGAGCTGCGTCCCAGGAATCGTATTTGACGATTGATAATCGTTTGTAAGGTCTCATTGAAACGTCGACAATCTCGCCAAATTGTGAAAAGAACTCCCGGACTGCCTCTTCTGAAAATGACTCCTCCGGGATATTCTCAACTACAATTGTAGTTTTCGCTCGATCAAAATTTGGTCTGTCTGAAGAGAATTCCGCACGTCCACCACGCCTGCCAGCATTTCCATGTCCGCGGTCTCCCCTCGCTCCCCGCCCTCTTCCTCGATCATTGCCTCTGTAATTATTGAAGGCGCCAGGACTGCCCATCCCATTCCCTTCGACTCCAGTCATAAGTGTCGCATTCGAAGGATCGTATTCATCCGGCGTTTGTCCAGGCGGTACCCAAATAGAATTCTCCCCATGTTCATACATACAAGTATTACCCCGCGCGCAAAAGCCTTTCTGCTCATAATCTCTACACCTACCCCTCCTAGGCGCTTTCTGAGCTGGTGGCCCTTGTCCAGGTAAAGGCGCGGTTATAGGAAATCCCATACTCTGTCCCATATTCTGAATAGCCATCATAAGAGCCATTGGATCAGGAGGATTATTAGGATCAATCGCCGGTAACAGCGACTGTTCTATCGACGGTCCATTTCCATGTGGCGGTCTCCCATTGAACCCTCCACGCCCATTAAAATCCCCATACCCACCACGTCCAGGCATCCCCCGCCGCGGCTGCTTGTACACCCTCCCATTCTCCATCCCCATGCCCCTATCCTGCACATCCCCATCTCCCCTCTCATTAAACGCGCGTTTGCGATTCCCATTCTGCCCTCCGTAATGCACACCAAATGGGGGCATACTCGACGGTCCAGTCGGCGGCGCAAAAGGCATGCTCGTCTGGCGTTGCGGCGGCGCGGGCGCGCCTGGCAGGTAGGATTTGTAGTGGATGGCATCGAAGAGGTCGGAGATGAATTGTGTTGGGTTGTCTTGGACGAAGTCGGGGATTTCGGCCATGCAGAGGTTTCGTACGGTTTCGGTGTCGCCATCGTTGCTTAGGAGCGCGAGGACGTAGTCGGCGAGGACGTCGGCGTCTGCGTCAGATCTGGTGAGGTTAGCAGTCTGCAGAGTGTATCAGGATGGAATAATATTTCTGCATACGTCTGACCGAGTCTTGTGACAAGCCATTGCTTGAGGTGTTCTGAATCTTCTTCTGGGAATAGCATCTTGTACTCGGAGCCTTTTCCAAGTTGAACTTAATAGCGAATAGGTTGACTTTTAAATCTCAGAGATCTCTTCACTTTTGAGTGATCTGTAATTCGTTTCAATTGATCATTTGGTGTTGGCAAGCTGTTTTCATGTTGCTGTGTGGTTTGCAGGGAAAATCTCCCAGCTTCGCGATCTTGTACAAACTGCTTTTCGTGACCCGTGAAGTCACTTTTGACGGTCCGTGCGCAACCTTGTGCCTTGATGGCTTTCTTTAGCGGGAGCTTTCTGGAGATGTTGGCTGGTCAGATGAATTCAATAATCAATTGACTCGGACTATGATAAGTTCTTATTATAATGCCCTAATTATGAAGAACGAAAGGAGGACTAATTCAATCATCAAGACGGTTTTGTTTGAATCACTAATAACAGAGACTATTTATAGGGTATCAAATCCAAATTGATTGGCCTTGAAGTGAATAACCTCAAGAACCAGACAGGCACTTCTAAGTCCTGACATCGCTATAATATTATCGCAGGAACACCGTCCCACGGCAAGTATATATACAAAATATTAAACGCCAACGTGAACCCAGCGTCTCCAGCTGTGTTAACAACCCATGGTATCATAGTCCGACCTTTCCTTCCCATCATTTTCCTTCCATGCAGCCCCCTAAAAATAGACATAGAAATCACAGCGTGAGACACTCAGATGAGAAGCTAAAAAGCAACACCAACACTGCTATTCCTAGCAATATTCATCTCACCCCTCCATCTCTGTTCCTCCCCAAAAGTCCTCAAACGCTCAAGTTCAAGGCTTTTCTCCTCATCTCTCTTCTCTTCGGCGAGTTCTGTGACGAAAACTTTCATCTCGGATCTCTTGCTACGACCTGGGCTTGATTCAGGTGTGATGGTAGCGTTTGTGTCTTTGTTAGCGAAGTCCTCCGATAATGTGGTGGTGATGGTTGATAATGTGGAGACGGTGCTGACTGAGGATACGGAGTCGCGTCTGTTGTGGTAGGAGGAGTTTTGGGGAATATCGACGCATTGGTAGAAGCCGTCGCGGGAGGTTACGGGTCGGGGTGTGTTGGTTACGGAATCTAGGGAGCTGACGCGGGAGTGGGCTTCAGCTGTGGAAGGGAATAGCCAGTTTGAGACGCGGGAGAAGGATTTCTTCTTGCGAAGAGGTGGGTGGTTGGCTTGTTTGGGCTGGATGAGAACGAGTGGGAGAGGTGGTGGGAGTGGGTGACCTCGAGCTCGAAGAGGACTCTTTGGTGGTGGTGCTGGGACTGGTGGGGAGGAAGGAATCGATGTCTGTAAGCGAGATGGTGTTGGTTTGGTTGGGGCGGTTTGAGGACGTTGGATGATGGTTGTGATTGTGGTAGTGTTTCTTGTAGGAGAAGCAACACGGGCTGCGAAAGATGACTTGAGAGGAGGTGGTGACGGCATAGGTTCTATGTGTGTTAGTGATATTTAAAGACAACTGCGCATTTTAACGCACCTTGAGCTGTCGAGTAAATGCTTCGAGCACGAGATGTCGCTCTACTTGTTGGTCGACTGTTAAAGTAAACACTTCTTCGCTCCTCAATCACCTCGTCAATATCCTTCAACTTCTGCTCAAGCTCAAATCTCTCATGAAGTGCCGACTTGATCCGCTCGTATGCTGGTGGCTCGGTCATCGCTCTTAAGCGGGCGGGTGGAGGAGCTTTAGGCATTTCAGTCTCGAGTTTCGCTAGTAACTCATCGGCACTGAGAGATTCTGGTCGTGGCTTGAACTGAGCAGTCCAGTCCGAAGAGGCTCGTGAACTACTGCGTAGCGGCTTTCGTGGAATCGAGAACGACATCGCAGAGTTACTTCTTGTATGTGAAACAAGAGACGCAGGATATTCATGATGAGGCATGCCCGGCGCATTCTCTGTAGGACCAAAATGTGGTAAAAGCGGAGACAGTGGCTGTTCCTGATAAATGCTCAACTCTAAAGGTCTAAAGTTCGCCGCCTTTCTACTCTGTATAGCTTGTCCGACATGTCTGAAATCTGTAGGAGCGCCTATTCGCGGCCGGCGCGGTCCATTATATGCATTTAATCGTCTTCTCACGGAGAAGCTACCACGACTAGATGCGCGGGATGCATATGCTTGAGTCTTTCCAACCCATTCCCTTCCTCTGGTGGTCGGTCTCTCTTGAGGCTCTGGAATCGGTGGTGGAACGAGGTAAGGTTGGTGATGTTCTATCCTCATAGGTCTCTCGACGTCTACAGTATTTGTTTAGAAGAAGCTCTACTCGAACTTGCGACAACCTCAATACTTACTGCGAGTTGACAGCGATCTTCCACTCTTCTCATTCTGCGGTGAAGCGCAACAAGTAACATTTACAAACCATGATTTGTATGCGGCATCGAAAAACCCGCCCAGTGTATTCATGGCCACGACTTCATTCTGCACGGCCTAACAAATTTGAAATCCAAAAACCACAACAGCGTAAAAGAAAAACAGGAGGAGGAGAGAAAGCGAGAAGCTGAAGAGGATCAAGGCTCTATAAGATCAGAGGCAGGTACCACGGCAGATAGCAAATCCTCTCACCCAAAGTTCGCTAACGCAGGATCAACGCAGGAGGATTTCTGATTCGTTCTCACCAGGTGTATGAATCGGTCCTGATTGTCCTGAATTTGGCTGGGTGGCCAAGTGCGGACCACATCATTGACGCGCCCGGCAGGAAGGAATATTGACATGGCTGTTCTTGAGTGTGCTTGAGTTGGGGTCAAATGGTCAACGGGTGTGGTTCGAGATGGCGGGGCGAGAGTGGAACTGGTGTCTGGCATATGGCGGGTATGCAACCCAACGAAAGGCTCAAAACAATCCGGCTGTCTTTGCCAGTCCCAGTGTGGACTTTGCAAGGCGCACATGGGTTGTGAGCCGGGGGAAGATGTTTTGGTGTGTTCGTGAACACAGGTAAGCTGGTGGTTGTGATAGGAGGGGGCTTCTCGCTTGGCTGGTAATGGCGGTTACGGTGTTGTCGACTCAGCCAAAGCTATTCGTTGGTGGCCAATTTGGAGGGTGGAAAAAGATACCAGAAGACGCACGCTTGTCAGCCACGACTATCCAATGATGTTGTATGTTGCAGGCATCGTTGAAGCGAGTCTGCATCAAAGGCTGACACACAGACATCGGCCCAAGAATGGGTTGTTTCCACGTGAGATGTCTGGATGTTGTAACGCCGAAACCATTCATGGGGTTCTGCTAGGCTGGAAATAGTTGCACATGAATAGAGCACTACTTGTATTCTTTGCTTTGTATTACTCAACGGCAATACGGAAGTTACGGAACTTAGGAAGAACTGCTTGGTTGTAGAGGAGAGTTGCCTCGGTTAAGAAATCACCCCCTGAAGCCATTTTGTTTGATAATCACGACTTCCAAATGCGTACCAATTTCACCAAGCGCCATCGAATATCTTCTGCTCGCACGGCTGATTTTGTGCTTCTAACCGCGGAGGAGCCTCAAAAGTACATTGTTTTATTCTTGGAGAATATTGAAATTAACCTTAATTTTCGCACGGCGGGTAGCAGTACAGATTCCGCTGCAGATTTCGGCAGCAAAGGCTCGACTGTGCAATTTCGGCGGCTGGCTTTAGGTTACAGTCAAGTCATCAAATGATTCTATTAACAAAGCGTTGTATTTTTCTCATCCTTTTACTCATCAGCCGTAGATCATTATGATGTGGACTCCCCCCCATTTCGCACGGGTTGAGTTGTCATCACATCACCCATCTTTCACCCTATTCCATTCGCAACAACTAACTCACCCACCCAACCTCTTCATCTCCGAACCAGCGTCAAAACAAACTTCTAGAAACACCACCCGGCTGCAAAGTCTGCCGTGGTCGTCAGGTCGGCCACTCGTCTGATCAGTAATGTTCCCGGCGATGCGCCAATCAGTACGCCATCGATCGTGTGCTGGTAAACCCCGAAACGGAGCTAGAATAATCAGCACCAGTCGTATTCACACAATGGCTGGTTTTGTGAATTCCTGGGTTTCGGAGCCGACCCGTTGGTAGAATCGCGAGGTTGGATTGCTCACACGAGGAGATCTCAGTCAGACTGGCTTAAGAGGTGTGATATTGGTAAAGGGACCCGATCAGCCACTGCTCAGCTTTCTGACTTGACGTTGATCATCCGTAAGTGTAGGCAATCGCATAGTTTAAGTGCCACGTCTGGTAATGCTATACGACCAACGCCTTGTAGGCACAGGCAGAGAATGCGGATTGGGCTGACGTAGTATTCGATGAGGCTCAGAGCATGACGATAAAGTTCGTTTACGAGATGCTTCAATAATAGAGTTGTATCCTTATTGATTCCTTAACCCTAAAGCCTATCAAATACCACCTTTCAAAGGCTGCACCTTGTGCTGGCATACAAAGCAGACAGCTCATTTCCCCACTAAACAAAATAAACAATTCAACGCGTCCCTAGTCGTACAGCTGAAGTTTCATAACATGAACATTCGCATCCTTTGAAAAGACTCCAAACCCCAACCGAGCCGACGCGAAATCTTCGACCTTGTGTATTTAGATCTGCTGCATGTCAGACACCCGATCTTCGGCTCGAGAGTCTCACTGGAGAAATCACTCGTTACACGCGAGAGCTCGCATATCAAGCCCTATATATATGTTTCATAAACTTGATCATTTCGCAGAGCTTATCCCCTCAGCTGCGGCCAGAATTGCACCCTTAAGCGAGCTAATCAAATTACTAAGATTTTACGGGTTAAGCGAAAGCAGAGGAATATCAAAACAAAATAATAATAATAATAGAGTATATCTTTAATTAAACTATAACTATAATACCTAAAGCTATAAGATATAATACTACCGATAAAGGAACCCTTCGGCCAAATACTAAACCTATTCCGAAGCCTAGGACCCGCTTTAAGCCTATGTAATTACTAAAAAAACAATACTAAATTACCTTACCTACGAATACGTCTCTAGACTCGCCTATATCGCTATTTCTACTATATTTTAGCTCGGACATAATAGAATATATAGCTAAGAGTATAAATTTATATATACCGATAGACTCCGATTATATACTAGAACGTTTATAAGTAGCCGAGTAGTACCGTACCTCGCCTAGGGAGCTATATATCTACTTAGCTATTCGTATCTATACTACCTTTTAAGTTAAGTCGAAAATCGCCTATTACTAGGAGAAGGAAGATAGGGAATACCTTTATTATATTACTAATTATATATCTCGCGATCGATTCTAATAATTATATATTTAGTACCGTATCTATAGGCCTAGCGCGTCGAGTCCTTACGAGAAGGTAGAGTAGTTCTTTCCCCCCTAAGCCTCGGCTAATCCTTTAATTAGGTCGAGCCTTTTAACTCTTACGTTCTCTCGATAAATAGCTAGGTTTAGTAACCTAGAAGCTATCTAGCTATAGACGAGATTATAGTACAATTTAAGGGTAGATCTTTGTATTCTACGACGATACCTAGTAAGCTAACCCCTATAGGATTTAAGGTATAGGCGATTATAGAATATAGGTTTATATAGCGCTAGAATTTCTATACTCCTAGCTCTAAAAACGGTCCTATTAACGTATAAACTCTATAAGAGCTTAGAGGTATAAAGAAAGAAGGTAAAGGAGGTAATAAAACCTAGGCGGTAGCGCTTAAGTTAATTAAATTACTCTCTAGCTAAGGTTTTTATATCTTTATAGATAACCTTTTTACTTCTACAAAATTCTTTAAACTCCTTAGAAGCCGAGGGTTTAGTACTACTAGAACTTATAGGATAAAGTCCGGAGTACTCTACGAGCTAGTTGTTACGAACAGCGTCGGCCTCGGTGTCGTGATACTCCTAGGACCGGAAGTTCTAGGATTAGACGAGGTCACGGGAATCGAGTAGTTCCTAGGGCCGCCGTCTAATAGCTTAATTCGGTTAAAGTTAGTAGTATTTATATTAGCGGATAGGCCCCGGTTTAGGGTGCCGTCACGTGACGAAGGAAGTTCGATAAGTTCGCTAGGCGAACCTGTCGAACCGGCTAGGAGTTCGACAAGTTCGACTAGCGAACCTATCGAACTTAGATAAAGGAAGTTCTATTTAATAATTGTAATTTTCTTAGGTAGGAGCTTCGTACTTAACTTATTATAGTAATAGTATATTATCTATTTAACTTACTCTTATTATAACGAATAGATCTCTAAATCTATAAGTAACAATCTCGTGCCTACTTCTTAATATACTAACCTTACGATAACTCTAGTCTACCCTAGGTAGAACCGAATCGTTACACTTTAAGTACCTATTCTTAGTAAGCACTAGATTATTAATAATAGCTCTAAACGTTACTAGTCTAGCCGGAAGCGTCGTAGGAACCCCGGCACTACTACCTCTACTAGTCCCTACTATAATCGAGGCAAAGGAAGGCCTACGAATCCCTCCGCTAGACAAGTATAATAGAACTCCAGCTAATCTAGAGTAATTTATTATAAAGGCCTAGCTCTATATAGGTTTTCACGGAGACAAGTTTAGAAACGATATAGACAAGGTTTTATTCCTAATCTCGCGCTTCGAGGGAAGGGCCTATAACTAGATCAAGCCTCATATTAGCGACTACTAGGAGAATAAGACCCAAATAGGCTTAGTGTCTACGGTTTACTCCTAGTTCGTTAAAGATTATTTCAAATTAATAAAAGACTTCGTAGCCGGTATAAGGAAGGCTTTCGGGGACATCGATATTAAGAAAAAGTTAGAGCTAGCCCTACTTAAGCTTACCTAGACCGGGTTAGCTATCCGCTACAATGTCGACTTCTAGTAAACCTCGGCCAGGTTAGGACTAGGTGATAAAGCCCTAAGAATATTATTCTATAGAGGATTAAAGGAATTCGTAAAGGACGAATTGTCGCGTATAGATCCTCTTAAGACCCTTTACGAGTTAAGTAAAGCCGCTATCAAGATTAATAACCGAGCGTACGAGTACCGTATTAAAAAGAAAGGGGTATATTCTCACTATATACGTCTATTAAAGAACTGCTACGGCGATCTAATAGAACTCGATGCGATTAGTAGGAGGGAACTTAACGCCTCGGACAAGAATAGAAAGAAGCTCTTTAATAAGGAAAGGATACGTCGAAGGGAGAAGGGACTCTACTTTAAGTATAGAAAAGAAGGTTATATAGCTAGCTTCTATTATAAAGGAAAGCTATAGAAAGGCTAGAAAAAACAGTTCGGCCCTACTAGACAACTAGCGGTAATAGATAGAGCTACCCTACTAAAAGGTGATTAGGGCAAGTAAGAGGCTACCGAATTAAGTTCGGCGGTCTAGTTAAGATCCGAAATACCTTTAGTAAAGAAGGAACACCGGATCGGAGACTCCTTATACTAGACGGACTCGGAACCTAGCAGCCCCTTAGCCTA